CATTGGTTAGAAAAGAGCATGATCCACAATTATCTCCATTGGTATGAGACTTTTTAAGTAAAATCAAAAGCAAAGCCGTGGGGTTATGCTCAAAGCGGACAATATCATACCATTATAGAGATACTTGGAGTATTTGGGTGTATCGTGTTCGAGCTTAGCTCAGCGTTATCGTAATGATCCCATTTCTTCTTTCTTCTTTCTCATCAAGTTTCTTATTTCTATTCACGTAAAAAAAAGTCTTATTTTTATTTCCATTTTTTTATCGTGTATAAAACTTTTACTTTTTAATTTAAAATTTTGAATAACAAGGAAGAAATAGTTTACAAACATTTTTCTATTCTTTTTCGTAAAAAATAAATAAAAGAACAAGAATATTAACAAACGGGTACTAAAATTTGGGGGCCCATATAGTAACGTTCCAATTTCTTGTTTTTGATTTTGCAATTACTTATGTTTCTTGTTTCTCATTTTTTGGAAATATTCTCACAAAATTGTATAGAAATTTGAGGAAAAATCAAAACAAGATTCTTGTTTCTTAATTATTTCCGGAAAAATGATATGAAATAGAAACAAGAAACTAGACGTTATCAAAATGGGCCCTTAGATTTCAATTCAAGGAGAGTGAGCATCGACAAAAATAAATTAAAATTATAGTCTTGATAAAGGGAGATGCTTTTAAGAATAGATGAATTTATTCTTTGGGTTATAAGCCTTCTCATTGGTTAACATTTACTTCCCATTTTTGGGAATTGACATTCGAAAATCAGAGGAAATTAATAAGGATAAATGGCACTTGCAGCGCCCAAACACAAGTGACATATGCAGTGACATAATCCAACAAAAATAAGAGTTTCTGTTGAAAGTTAATCTGTAACTTTCAAAAATATGTATTAAATGTAAGTTGTATTTCCAATAAGAACTATGATAACACACTTTGTGAGCTACATTTCATGAGATTTATATTGAAATTATTTGTTAGTTTTCGTTTCTTCAGGACAAATTTAAGCACATAAGATATATTTTGCAGGAATAAAGCATCGGGAGGAAACGAGACATATTTGGATCAAAATGAGAGAAAAATTGCAATCAAAATGACCAAGATGAAATAATAACAAGATTTGGAGCTAAAAACCCGAGGAGATAGCGCCATGGCGCTAGCCTAGAGCGCCGCTGCACTCCGAAGTTTAAATTCCGCGTNTGTGAGCTATATTTCATGAGATTTATATTGAAATTATTTGTTAGTTTTCGTTTCTTCAGGACAAATTTAAGCACATAAGATATATTTTGCAGGAATAAAGCATCGGGAGGAAACGAGACATATTTGGATCAAAATGAGAGAAAAATCGGAATCAAAGTGACCAAGATGGAATAACAACAAGATTTGGAGCTAAAAACCCGAGGAGATAGCGCCACGACTCTAGCATAGAGTGCCGCGGCGCTCCGAAGTTTAAATTTCGCGTTTGTGAATAGTGTAGCGTCATGGCCTTGTATATAGCGCCACAGCGCTGCCGCGACAACTTTTTATAAAAATAGGGTTGTGCAGCCACCGTAAGGGGGGAGTTTGGAAGAGGTTTTATGGCAGTTTGCCTTTTTGGCCAAATCGGAGGGCAAGGAGACCATTGGAGAGCTTAGAAAAGTGATTTTCAAGGCTCGGGATCGTGGAGGTCGCTTCGGGGACGGACGATTGACACGCCGAACATAGTTTCTTCTCCTTTCCCTTGATTTTTCTGGTTTTGTTATGGACTTCTCATTGTGATTTTATTGTTTTCCATTGAATATGAGAAGCTAAACCTCTCATCTTGGGGATTGATGTAGCCATTGAACTTTATGCATTGATTGTTTAGTTTTCTTGGTTGAATGTTTATGAATGTTTTATTTATGCTTCTCTATGCTTAATGCCTTGAATCTACTGGCCATAGATTGATTGATTTTAGACTTGAAATCTTACGCTCGGGAGAGGTGGTTTAGAGTTAGAACTGTGATGCATAACTAAAGGGGTTTTAAGATCGGGAGATTTAGAAGTCCTTTAGAGGTCGATAAAAGACTTGTTCAATAAAGCCTTTACTTGTTATAGAAACTAGAGGGATATTGGTTTCTTAATTCTTAAGGAGAATTAGCTTGCGCTCGGGAGAGGCAGTTGAGATTTGAGAGTTCTTGGCCTATATAATTAATAATTCGTCCAATCTTGAGTAATTAAGTAGTTAATTCATAGATTCAATAGGTGAAATCAATTCCCTAGGACATTTCCCCCATTGTTTTTATGTTTATTATTGCATTTTTATTTTCTTTGATTATATTCTCCCTTTTGATTTTGATTCTCTAAATAAAATTGAACAATTGTATCTGTGGTACTTGAGTGATCTAGAAAACCAATCCAGAAGACGATATCGGTATTGACTTACCACTTTATTAAAGCTTGACCCGTACACTTGCGGTGAGCAATCTATGCTACAAACTACCATGCTCATAAATATTGAATTTCATTATGAATTTTGTAAAAATTATTACATGATGAAGAAATTATATTTTTACTTTAATTATTCATGTATTTAATTTTTTATGTGGTATAATAAAGCTTTATATGCATGAATATTTGTGAGTTCATATATACAATTAGAGATATTGTGGATTTATATATGTGTATGGTTGACTTAATTATTAAGTTTATAAAAGAAGAAATAAAAAAAATGCAAGCAAATTTGGTATGAGAAATGAACCAAGTTCTGACTTGGGAAGAGTTTAATTATCATATCAAAAGTTAAAACTTCAATGCTCTTCTATATTTCTTCGTGTTGTCACTGAAAAAAAAAATCTATTTGTTTTTATCATAATAAAAATAGTCTCAGATTTAAATTATTAACTTAATACAAGTAGAAAGAAAGGAAAAAAATGCTAGTAGGAGAATATCTTCAATTGTGTTAGTATCTATACCACTTTTTTAATTAGGTCTTCTCTATTTTTTTTCGGGTTAGATTGAGTTGAACAACACTTTTGAACTTAACTCAATCCAACCATTTAACTGTTTGGTTGGGTTGGATTGGCTCGAATTATTTTGATCATTTGTTTAACATTTTTTCAAAAAAAAAAAAAGTTAAAAAGTTTAGTATTTTAAGTATCATATTCACTTATTCTCAAGAATTGAATTAAGATCAGGAAGTTGATGTTAATTTTTACCTTAAGAAAAATTATACTCTAAGAACTTACAAGAAATTATATTTTCAAAAGGATGTTGAAGAGTACAAAATTTAATTATAGTTTTATATTTAGCAAATAAATATTTTTTTAATTAACAATAAATTCGGGTTGGTTTAGTTCAACCTAAAACTAATTTGAACCAACTCAAACTCTATAAAGTTATAATTTATTAGAACTAAACCAACCTAATTTAAACACATTTATAACCTAATCCAACATGTAGGATTTAGGTTGAGTTGTATCAATATTCGTTGTAATTTCATTTATCAATATTCAACTTTAAACCTTGGTTTTAGATTTTAAAAACCAAAGATATGAAATACAAAATAAACCTAAGGCTCCTCTTTGTGGATAATTGTCCTAGCCACCTCAATCTGTAAAAAAACAATTGAAGAGAGTTATATTTTTAAAAAGATACCATATAAATTTATTGTGCCCTTGAGATATTGAAATATCCATGTTACGGCACGAAAAATATACCACATTTGAATTTTTTTTAGTATAACATGTGGGATGGGAGATCGAACTCACAATTTCAGATTTGAGATATATGTCAATTATCTCTCAGGCTCTGTTTTGGCACATTTGAAATTATTGATAATGTTCGCACACTTGAGAGAACTAAGGATTATTGATAATGTTCACACAGTTTGTTTAAGGCAAGATCTTTGAGAGAGCCACACGTATACATTAACTTGTTGGGAAATTTACATTGTTAGAAAATAAAATTCGTTGCAAAAAGTGCCTGTGGCGACGTCGCTAAGGTACCTCTCACGACGAACTACATTTTGTCGCCAAAATATTTGACTAAGAAAATTAAAATTAGACGAAACTTTTAGCGGCGAATGTAAATTTCGTCGAAAGAAGGTACTTTTTGCGATGAAATATTTTACGTTTCGTTGCCAAAGGTGCTTCTTTGCAACGAATTTTATTTCATTGCACAAAACTTTCGTCGAGCAAATAAGAAAATTCTTGGCATTGAATAGAGCCAAAACAAGAATATATGGTTTTCTTATCTTAGAGAGTCACACATATACCTTGTAAGTGACGTTTGAAGAGTTCTAATACCGCTTGTTCAAAACAACGGTATCTTAAACTATCTCCACAATGATATTATATTGTCTACTTTTTGGGCATAATCCTTATTGTTTTACTTTTGGTTTCATCCAAAATGCTTCATATCAAATGGAGATAATTGCATCATCTTCTATGTATAGTATATAGACACGATTCTCTTACTTAGTTAGTGTAAGACTTTATTTGTATTTCTCGCAACTCTAACGAACATATATAGGAGGAGGCTTCCCAACATTATCAATCTGTTTGTTAAACTTTTTAATAACCTTGTGAAGTTTGTTAAACTTTAGTAATAATTAAGAGTTCACTACTACAAAATTGGCTTCTAGAAATAGTCATTATATGTTTTTCTTGACGTTTATAAACTATCGTTAAAAGATATTTCATGACAACAATTATAAACTGTCTTTATAAAATATTTTGTGACAGTTATAAACTATCGTTATTTAAGTTTTTGTTGATAGAAGAACAAAATTTTTTTATTATTTCAGTGATAGTTATAAATTGTCATCAAATTAGCGTAATTTATGACATTTTTAAATTGTCGTGGATGGCCGATTCGTAACTATTGTTGTAACTATATTAACTTTGGCATTCTCCTTTTTCCTTGATGTCTTGATCCATAATAGTTATATATTTGTCACGAATTATATTAATGACAGTTTTTAATTGTCATTGAAGTGCTGGAATATTCTTCCAAGCGAGTAAGATAAGAAAACCATATATTATCCACTGCCCCAAATTTTTAATGTTCGCCACGCATTTTGGTGTAACCTTTTACAATTGTTAGATACAATAACATTGTTATTAATTTTTACTTTCTTTTTATTGTCACAATTTGTGACAGGCATGCCTAACATCCATTTCCTCCTTACTTTGATGACTCAAATCAACCGATCCCTGAAAGTTGATGATCTATTCATCAACCATCACGACGAACGCATGATGGATCTTCAACCCTCCCTTCCACATCTTGCTCCAAACTTCATACATACCAAAGTAGAGCTTGCAATCATCAGAGGGTACTGCTGTTTCTTTGGGAGTGACTGTAATGACCAATTTGTCCTCAGGAATGTCAAAGGGCAAGGGCATCCCTTGAGATTTCCCCTCAAAATTTACCTTCTTGAAACTGACAGTTCCTCTTTTCCCAATCTTGGCCATTATGTAAACTTCACGCCCTTCCCATCCAAAGGCATCTGGTCTTAGGGATACTCTGAAACCCACTTTGTATTCTTTGCCAATCACAACATCTTTAGGGGTAGAGCCAGTTACTTCTAACCATGCCACTTGCTTCAGCTCTGCAACACTATCTTCATCCATCCTACAAAGTGTCATACCTCTCAAACCAAGAAAATAATTTTAGATGCCGTTTATATATGGCGATCTCAACGAGATCGTTGTCGCAAACAATCGAAAGAAATAAGGAAACCAAGAAAAAAAGTACTCTATAAAGTTCATTCCTCTCACGTGTCTATAATCGTATGAGTATTGTCGCAACGTCATCGCGACGCGGAGCGGCCGACATCATCCCCTGACGGGTCTCTTTTGAGATTCGGGTTTGGGGTCGCTACCAATCATATACGATATGTGATTGGTCACCTATTTTAAAAACTTGGTCTACGAAAAACAGATTTTGGTTCGGGAGTCGACTGAGTGTAGGGAATGTGTTAGCACTCTACGACACCCGTTCGAAAACGGTACCATATTTTGTCAACAATTATCCTATTATACTTTGGTCCAAAAAGAAAAATAAGACGTGTGAATTACTCCTAAGTAACCTACCACTATGCCAACACCATATGATACAACTTAATATTAATTCTTATCATACAAATCTTTATTTAAAAAAAATGTTAAAAAAAAATAAAACTAAAACGAGAAATAATAATAATAATAATAATAAAATAAAAAAAATTTATTTTATTTTAGATTTGAAATTCCTCTAACAAACTTCCTTAAAACAAAAAAAAACATTTAAAACAAACTTGTTTTTAAAATTTAAAACAAACTTATTTTAACAATAATCAAATCATATTTAAAACAAATTTATTTTAAAACTAATCAAATCATACTTCTTATTTTAAAAATAATCAAATCATATTTCTTATTTTAAAAAATAATCAAATCATATTTAAACAAATCTATTTTAAAATATACCAAATCATATTTAAACAAATTTATTTTAAAATATATATATCAAATTTAAAACAAGCTTATTTAAAACAAATAAAAAAAAATCAAATCATTTCTAAAACAACCATTTTCTATACCACGTACTGCACTGAGGAAATTCTGGGTGTGCCCGCGGGTCTGAAACCGTGAAGGAGCACTCGAGGTCGGATTCAGGCGGTCGGTGATCCGTGCGTCGATTGTAGAACTTTGCGCTGGACTACTGTGGTGCAGGTTGGTCTGAACTTGTGATCATCGGGGGACGTGTGTAGTCTGTGTATCGTTGGGGTTGCCGGCCTGGGTGAAGAGGAAGAGAAGGTGATGGTAGAGAGAAAGAAGGAAGTGAATTCTTCTCTGTATGGGTTATGTCCGTCTTTCCTCTCCACTGCAGCCCTCCTTGAATACACCTAAAACTAACCATAAAAAAGAAAAAGGGGAAGAGAAGAGAGAAAAAGAGGGAGGGGATACGTATGAAGGAAAAAATCAAAGGAGAAAACTGTTTTTTTTTTATCTTAAAATCAATTTAAAAAAAAACAATTATTTTCAAATAAAATCTAATTTTAAAACTTAATTTGATTCAATTAAAACTTTACATTAAATTTTATAATAAAGTAAATTATGTTATTTTAAACTAAATCAATAAACATAAAAAAATATATAAAAATAATAATAAATAAATTAATAATAAAATTTTAAAAAAAAAAAACGAAAGTGAGCCGGACCAAATACGGTGTCTACAAGTATTGTCTACTTTGGACTTAAGAATAACCCGAATGACTTTACTTTTATAATCAAGAAGGTCTAAAACAAATTAAATAGGTCAAATTTGAATTACAAATAAGCCCACAATATAAAAAATAAAAAATATGAAAACAACCTTAACAATAGTGGTAGAGCGAAGAAGAAAAGAGAGGGACAAATTGCTCGGAATTGAAATATTATATATATGTAAAGTTAGAACGTAAAAGTTTGCCTCACAAACCACACTACTAATCTCTGAATAGAACGAAATACGAATAGAGTAGAGGAGAATTCATCCAGACATATATTTTTTTTGTTTTCTTTTTTTTTTAATACAAAAGAATAAAATAAAATAAAAATCAGTTTTCCACTTTAAAGAAATTAGACCATCAAAATTAATTTAATAGGTATAGGAGAATTGATAAAAAGAATGAGAAAGTTGCAGCTCACGGCTTGTCTTTACCAGGTAATTGCCAATAACGGCTGTCTCTGCCCCATGTAATATTTAGTCCCCTTGGATACAATTTGAACTTATTACCCTGTAAAATTAGAAATGACATATTATATGCCATAAATTAAAAAAAAAATATTAAATAGGTTGGTTTTTGTAAATTTTAAGGTTTTATTATTTTTTTTTCTCAGAATTGATATCGTGTGGCTCACGGTAATAAACCCCTATAACTGGAGTTTGTTGTTTGGGCTGAACAATATTATGACCAACAAAAGACACTCGGTAAATTTTAAGACTTTGTTTTATATTTAAAAATACATAATTATTTTTATACTGAGTGTATATATATATTAAAAATAAGGGATCGTATCTTTTCATTTATGTTTTAAAATAATGTACCAGCTTCAAAAATATGAACGACCAAACTAAGATGGCTAACCTTTCTATGCGAATCGACTAAGATTAAATTTATAACTTTTACGTCACAAAATTATCTCTCTAAGAGAATTTAATTTAGATTATATTTTACTTGGATCGAGAACTTTGCATGTATGAAAAAATCTTTATTTTATCTCAAATGTTAACGTAATTGTTATCATTGTAAAGTATTATGACATGATTAGAAGTGATTTTGACATGTCAAGAATTACTTTCTTTTCATCGCCAAAATTAACAATTTTTTACAATGACATCTAAGTAATTTTAGAAGTGAGAAAACTTTTACCTTCTAGAATATACATGAAATTTATCCTATACAATAAAACTTCTCCCTGAAATCTTGCATGAGTCACCTAAAAGTTAATCGGTTTCATTTCTCTCTCTTAAGATTTAATATTTTTCCGAACTTTTTTCTTTCTAAAATTTCGTCTTTTATAACTTTTCATTCTCTTTCTAATCTATTTTTTCTTCTGAAAATTATGTCTTCGATTTTTTCGTTCAATTTTCTTTTATTGTAATTTTTATTTATCTATGTATTTATTTATTTTCTCTAAAAATTACATTTTGAATCTTATTTTTATTTCTAATTTTTTTACTATTATTTTTCTCTTTCTTTCTAATTTCTTTAACATATCTTTTCCTCTCAGCTTTTTTTCTCTAAAATTATTCTCTTTTTGTTTTTAACTTTTCTTTCACTAATTTTTTTCTAAATCTTTTTATTTACCTCTCTAAAATTTATCTTCCAAAAGTTTAATTAGTTATATCTCTCTAAACTTATATTTCAATGTCTCTACATTAGGGATGACAAAAATTTCTGCAAGGTCGGGCCCCATAAATAGTAAATGCATGTCCCGACCTCGTCCCTGATTCCATTTTTTTAATAATTATATATATTTATCACGTTTTTTTAATTTTTTAAGTTCTAAAAATAATTAAAAACAATTATAAAACCGATAATTTTTCTCGAGAACGTCTCTCGGATCGAAGAACGAGGTGGAGACAGAGATTAAAATTTTCACGAGCACGAGAATGGGGGAGAGCATCCTCACTCGCACCCACATCATTGTCATCTCTACTCTACATAGAATTTTCTCTCTCTAATATGTATTTTCAAATTTCTAACATTTTAAAAACATAAAACTAAAAATGGTTACCAAACATATTTGGTTTTCCATTTTTTAAAACGAAAAAACAAAAAATGGTTATGAAACATTTTTGTTTTTTAAAAACAGAAAACCAAAAACTAAAAACAGAAAAATCAAAAACGAAAAACAGAAATGGTTATCAAACAAGCCCTATGAAAGTTTGAAATTAACGAATCTTTCAAAAGAGTAATTCTTGCTAAACATGCCCTAATAAATTTTCCATTTTTCATTTTTCTTATTTAAGCTTGATTTGGATTAAACTTTTTTTTCTTTTTTTGTTAAACGTTGAAACTTTCTACCATATTTGGAATACACGTTTATGTGGGTGTATTTTAATTCTCTTTATTTTTTTTCCAAAGCAACCTTAGATTGCAAGAGAGAAACCATAAGCTAAAGAGTTTGCAAAGCATACCTCATCCTTGATGGCGTCTGTGGAATTAACTTTGTAGTGAGGTTTCCAAAGGAGACCCATCTCCAAGGATGATAGACAAGTTCCACATATAATTCCTTCAACCTTCTTCTCTGTCTCTCGAATGAATATCAGTTATTTTAGTGCTTCTGATGAGTGATGAGTGAGAATAGTATAAGGCAATTAATTAATTAATTAATAAGGCTTTTATAGAGCAAAAAAAGAGTGGAAGAATATATATTGGGTTTCTAAATAGTACAAATAAAGTTTCACATTGGTTAAAGAAGAGATGATGACAGTTATCTTTTTTGGTATAAGGTCTTTTAGGTGAAACCAAAAGTAAAGCGTGAAAGTTATGTTCAAAGCAGATAATATCAATACTATTATACAGATATTTGAGATACTTATGACACTATATATTTTTCTTAAAGATGGTGCCCCAAAATCAATTGGAAGAATTTATTTTTGGAGGAAGCTTTTCCTATATACTACCATATTGCAATATATGTTGTAAAGTAATGGGAGAATTGAATTCTCTTGAGATTTGTTGTGTACTCTTGGATTGTATTGACTTCCTCTTCTTATCTCTTTGGTTGTTTCTTCTTCTTTCTTTTTCTTTTTTTTTTTTTTGTTTGGGATGGGATAGTTTTGATGGAAAGGAATCGAGGAATATAACACATATATAATTCAATTTGTTGGATGGTAAGAGAAACGTGTAAGATATTAAATCCTAAACATGTGGCCACCATGGAATTTGAACTCTCAAAACCTCTAAATTAATGAATTTCTCATTATAATTGACTTGTGAGTATTTAATATTAAAGATTAATAAACCACATCACTCAATGGATTGGGTAAATTTAATTTATTGATGAGTATCTCAACATTTTAAAAGCAAGCATGAAATTTTTTTTTCACCTAATAAGATGTCGGGGTGGGGATATGAAATCTTTGACCTTTTGGTTGATGATATATGACTTGACCAGTTAAACTATATACAGGTTGACAAATTTGAATAAATATACTATTGAGATGTCGGTGTTAAAGAATAAAGCGGAGACCTACTTCCATTGGCCACTAGTTATATATATGTTACTATATTTTGAAAGTCAAGGAAACCACCTCCAAGGAATAATAATCTATCTTTTACATTCAATATCTGTCAATCAATTTAACCCTCTTTTTTTTTATAGATCCAACGTTTGATTCTTCATCCCACAATCATAAAGTTAATAAGGTTTTATGATTTGTCAAAGAAAAGAAATAATTAATGTGATGAGCTTTTAAAAAATAACAGAAATTAAAGGTAGCCGTGGAAAAGTTGAAAACATTACCACACTTGCAATTAACAAGTTGCTTGAGATGCTCAACTTTGCAAAAGTTGAAAACGAATTATTATTTTATTAAATAGATTCCACAAGTTGCTTTTAATTTAATTTATTGATATTTTTATAGAATATTATAGCCTGAGATTTCAGCTGTCCACGACGCTTCAGTGGTTGAGGTTGATTCTCAAGTGTTCTGTGGACTGACTTGCTAGACATCCACCTCTAGGGTTTTTACATATTAGTGATGAAATTATCCCTACGCATCTTTCTTTCTTTTTTGGCCGCAAAGTTAAATTATAATTTTCGATAATGCTGATATCTTTAAAATTCCATCAAAACTGCTAGCTCAGTGGTAATTGACAATATCTCCAACCAACATGTTCTGAGTTGGATCTTCATCTCCACATAAGTTTTAAACACTAAATATGAGGAATATATTATTATATATTCATGTCTCGAAAATATTGTGGAGATTTTAATTTAATGGACATGTCGATAAAATGTTGATATCGATGTATATTTATAAAAAAAAATCAAGAAATTTATAAAACAAATATATTTCAATTGAAAAATAAACATTTCACCTTTTTTTTTTAATAAACTTAAAATTATTATTATGTCTATTTTTTTTAACAACGTATTTTATATTTCATCAACTTGTTTTTTATATAATGGAAATATTGATTCACTTTTATATATAGATTTTGAACCCGATTTTAAATATATTTAAGTATTTTTTTAGGGGCAATTACAAATATGGCAAAACCATTTAGTAAAATTAGCAAAATTAGCAAAATAGCAACTACATTTATTTTTTTCCAAATATATCACTTTTTTTAAATATAAAAAACGAAGATCCAATTTTAAAATGACAATTTTACCCAAATAATATATATCTGTAATACATCTTTAATATATCTTACTACTTATATATGTATGTGATATATATCTAATATACTACTAATATGACTGTCTGATATACTTACAATATGTATGTGATATACATCTAATACACTACTGATATGAGTGTGTAATATATTATTGATATAAATGAAAATTTATACTATATTTGAAAATTTTAAAAAGAGGCGACATATTTTGAAATAGATAAAGATTTTGCTATCCATGGCAATTTCACCTTTTTTATGGAAAATTTTATATTTGGCTAGGAGGAGGAGGATCCAATTAATGTGTTGTCTTTTAACTTATGCGCAGTTTGGAGCCTCTCTTACTATTTGGTAATATTCCTTGCCTTTAATTTGTTTAATTTTCAAGTTTGAGCTTTTCTCCATTAATTTGTACACTACTAAAAATTACTAATTAATTTACACATTGAGATTTCTGCGGTAAAAACTTCGACAGCCACCCAACACTGTAATTGGCATTACAGGACTCGTCCCCAAATAGAGGAAGCCCCAACTATACGTCCCGCGGGACTCGAATCGGGGAGGGGATATCCCCATTTGGCCACAAGCCTAATACGCAAGTTTATAAACAATTGAGATTTTTGTCATATAATCAACTCCTTGTTAATTAAAATTATCACTATGCAACTATAGAAATCAGTATCCTTCAACTAAACTTTAACAAATTTCTCACAAATCCACAGCTAATTGGGTATGATTTATGACTCAACATAATGGATCAATAATAGTTATTAAACCATCCTTCAATTTTTCAACAACAAATATATATCAACTCATAACATAACATCTACAAAGCTTCAAAAATATGGTTTAATCGTGTTTAAACAATAAAATAAAATAAAACAAATCTCTCATGTACTGATAGGTAATTAATTACTAATGGTTCAAAAGTTTAATCAGCCAATCGTCTGAACAAATGCATCATGAATCCTCAATCCTCCCTTCCACTTCTGAGTCCAAACTTCATACAAACCAAGATGAATTGTTCTAAGCTCTTTGGGAGTTGAAGCATCAACTGTGATTTCTAAGGGCTCCTCAGGGATCTTGAGACTTTGATTTGTTGGTTTGTCTCCTAAAGAAACTTTCTTGAACATGAACTTTCCTGACTTCCCAACCTTAGCCATTACATAAACCTCAATCCCATTCCATCCAAATGCATCTGGTTTCATTGATACATTGAACCCCACTTTGTACTTCTTCCCAACCTCCACATTGTCTGTTGAACATGTCACTTCTAGCCATGAAACTTGCTTCAGCTCCGCCACCGATGAACTTTTTGGCCTACAAAAATTACATAAAATTACACGGTTTAACTACCACTGAAGTCAAAAGCTTAATCTAACCGGTCATGATAACTTTAAACACTATCAAACGACCATAAATATTAATTTGAGAGTACATGACATAACAGCAGCTCAAGCATACCGGATTTCCTAGTCTAGTACGTATCATGTTATTAATTACGGCTGAATCCAGAAGTACTTAAGTTGATAGGTTACAGTAAATTTAATTTTTTACTCGTATTCTCAACACGCTTGAAAGAGATGCTTACGTGTTGGAGTTAGAGATATGCCAATAGCGATCGTCATTACCCCATGTGATGTTTAACCCTCTTGGATAAAATCTGGTGTTTCCCTGCGTTGAGAATCAGAGATCAGACGTAGAAAACTGATCAAAGGAAATCTTGAGTTATTTCAAATATATATATATATATATATATATATATAAAATAGTTAAAATCACAAAAATGAGAGGATGTCCCATAAAGAGAAAATTACCTTGGTATCCTTGGCTATGGCAGTTTGATCTGCTACTCTGTGAGGGCCAATTGTCATTATTGGGTTATAGGAGAAGAAGAAGGAACTGGAATATGTGAGTTTTGAACTGTAAGATAATCAGTTTAATTTGCTTAGTTCAAAGGTAGATGATGAGATGAGTGGAGAAAATCTGATAAATAAGTATTTATAGATGAAGAAATTAAACAAGAACCAATTTCCACGTACACCATGGGAAAAGGAAAGTGCTTTTTTTTTTTTTTGTAGTGATCTTGAAAAAAACAGCTGCAATATTCCCCACGAGGTTGAATAGTATTACGCGGTGCTTTAGAAACTTCCTTAAACTTTATGAATTGAAGAATGTCAATGGTGTTCTTGTTTTTTGTAGTTATTTTTTCTTAAGTTCGTGTATGAAGCTTCCTTTGGTTGTAATATGACCAGAAAAATGAATCAAATTCTCTCGAATCTCAAAATGGGCTGCTTGATGGCTGTTTTCATTTTTGTTTCACTTTTTCCTTTTTTGGAGAGAAATTAAAAGTCGAGGAGGTTGTTGATTTTATTTGTGCGACACCCTGCTGAAGATAGACAATATCAATATTAACGAGGTTTCATCTCAAAATCAATTGGGAGGTATAGCTCACGTCTATTGTTATAAACCTTTGTTAGGTCTCTTGTTTGAATTGATATCTTTTAACGAGAGGAATCATATTGCTCAATCAAAGAATTCCTATGATGTCGGTTATTTTTCCTAGATCGTTTTTTCCAAGTCTTTAAGTGATTTCATACCGGAATTAAGAATAAAACGAGATAATTTATAGAACCTCATGAAATCAAAGGAAAAGAGCAAGTAAAATAAGAAAGAACACAATCAATTTTTATAAATGGCCTGCTCCATTCCACTTGGCATTTGACAAAGAACCTAAACCGGGAGAATAATGTATACAAGAAACATGAAAGATATCAAAATTTATATAATTTCGTCTCAAAATCAATTGACAATAATAAGAAAAAAAAAAAAGTAGTATATCAGCCGTTATAACTTTCTAAAAGGGTCAACTTTTCTGATTTATTTAATGACTAAAAATAGTTAAATTAAATTTTTCTATTTGTTGATGTTTTTTAGCTGTCAAGTGTACTGACATTTTTTACCGTCATCATTTGATGCCTTAAATCCTATATTTATATTTTTTTTAGTATAACAACATACGGAAAATCGGAGATATGGATTCTAACCCGATTGATAATGTATATGTCTTGTTATATTCATGTTTCGCCACCACATATTTATGTGCTTTAATGGAACCAAAATTTTGAGTTTTTTAACCTAATTCTTATACTATGAAAACAATCGTAAATTCATAATCTCTTTAGAACATCATACCCGTGTTAGTAAAATTAAGATTCTTAATCTTCTTTTGAAGTAAGTTGACTTTCTTTTTTTTTTAACTAATACATTTAACTAGTAGCAACCATAGGTTTTCTCTCCTCTCCAAAGATTGAGCTAGTTTCTGCCAGGGAGAGGGGTGGCTAATGGCCGACTCCCCTCCTCGCCTTCTCCTCCCCGTGAAGGATATGTGTTTTCTCTCAGTCCTCTGAGTTTTTTTCAAAGAGTTTTCCTCTATGCTTTGTTATAGTTTTTCCGTGGTTTTTTTCAAGTAATAAGTAACATGGATTGAGATATTATGGGGACACTCTTGCTATTGTGGAGGTGACTTTTGGGGAGGATCCTTCTTTTCCGCTAACTTCTATGGTGGCGAACGGTCGTCGGGTGTTGGAGATCTTCCCGTTGGATGCTGATAATGCTGTTGCGGCTGACAAAATCAAAGCCAACATTGTTATGTATGGTCCATGGCTTAATCATCAGGGCATTATGAAGAGTTAGAGCTCTCGAGAGGACTACCTTCTGCGATCTCTTGGGATGACTCTTCATCTTTATTGCATTTTGGTTCAGAGAACTTCCATGGTTCAGGGGCAAAGCATGGTAGAGAAGGTGGGCGACGACGAAGGCACGGCAGTGATCGACTCGAACACCATTTTAGAATCTGTAGAGGCTATCAATGTTAATTGTATTAAGATCCGTGACCAACATGATTTGGAGAATTTGACTAATCTTTCCTTACCTGTGGAGAATAAGGCAACTTTAGAGCAATTATTTTCCTTCAAATCCTAAATAGGGGTGTCATAATTGACAAGATCTCTCAATTAATTGATGAATCTCCCCTGAAATCATTAAATGAGGTTGAAGATGGCGTGACTTTGGATGAAGTGTTTAGTGGGCTAAAATTTGTTCTTCCTATTTTATTAGCCAAGTTTAATGATCGTTTCTCTGTCCTTTAAGATAGTTGTTACCCTTTGTGGCTTCTGGTGCATTGTCGCCACTCTTATGATGTAACCCTTAGTGGTCTGATTTCTTTTTAACACTTWGATCAAAAAATATATATGTACTTTTTTTTAGTTTCTCTTTAAAAATATAATAATGTAAAAGTGGCAGCCAGCTTTATCATGTCAATATAGCCCTACTATAATCTTGAGAGTCAAGAAAAACCAACCTCCAAAGGAATAATTTTTTTTGGATTGAATCAATGACGCATTCAATGTCTGGCTAGCAACCACGAGAGATAAGATAAGAAGACCAATTTAATTTGTGGAAGAACTAGAGAAGAATATCACACACTAAATACAACCAAAAAAAAAACCGAGTGATGAAGAAAAAAAGAATTGGCCAAGTTGCTTTGAGATGCTCAAACTTTATGCAAAAGTAGAAAAACAAATACGCTCCCTAAGAGATTTATGCTTTTATTTGGGAAGTTTCTCCCTTCTCCTTCGACGATACAGAGTGGAGATTCGAATCTCTCGCAACTTTTTGATCGATGTTATATACTTTAACTAGCTAATTGAGCTATATACTCAGGTTAGCATACTTCTAACATGAGTAACGACCTTACTCCAAGTTTTTTTAATATACATCTAACCATTATTAAGGAGCAGCCACGTTGTAATGACCTCACTCCAAGTTTTTTTAATATACATCTAACCATTATTAAGGAGCAGCCACGTTGTAATGACCTCACTCCAAGTTTTTTTTATAGCTCAAAGTAAAATGAATGCAAACTCTTTACCCCTAACTACACCAATAGCAACAACAGACATGAGGAAAAGTTGAGAATCTTGGTCACTCGCATCACAAGAAAATCTTCTCTCTCAAAGTGGAAAAGTTTTAATATTTTGAAACTCAATTTCCCTAAGAGTGTGAGTTTGCTGTTTAGGGAAATCAACCTCTTTCCTTTTTAATCAAACTCTCGAGTTAAAAATATTTTTTCGCCAACTTGAATATAACTTAACTGATTAAGATATATATTTCAACCAAAATGTTGAAAGTTCGCATTCCTACTCTCGCACATTGTTGAAAAGAAAAAAGAAAAAGACAAAAGACAAAACGACTCTTCAATTGTCCTAACTTTTTTTTTCCTTCAACAATATGTAGCGATGAGGATTCGATGAACCTCCAACCTTTTAATTGATATATACCTTAACGAGTTGAGCTATATGTTCATAAATTGGGTCCTAACTTGTATTTTACTTTAAAAAGTAAAATTTCCTAATTTTATATGTTTTTAAATATATAATTCAATAAAAAAATTATCTTTGGACTTTTTTTTTTTTTTTTGGAAAATCTTTGGATTCATTATTGTAATCCATGCATAACTTAGAAGGTGTGAAGAAGGGCATCATCAGCTCACAAGCAAAGGTATTTAAGTGTTAGACGAAATATATATGTTTTAGTCTATAATGTTTAAGTATTTTTTTAATTTAATTGGGAAGGGCGGGTTTTAGGAACTAAAATTCAAACTTTGTAAACAACTATATAGGACTACATTGAAAAAACACCCATGTACTAAACACATATCTAGCCTAAAATTATTACTTGTGCATACTTCTAACACTTATTTATTAAGTGAAAAGTTAATTACAACACCACTAGGATTTAGAATTCGAATTCGACACTTAATTGCCCTTGCATTTTCGTGCATCCTCTGAAACAAAGACTATCTCTACATACCAACATGTATCTTTTTAGCATGTTTTGTYTTCACTCACATGCTTCCTAGTAAATCAACTAGCAAGTCGTCTGACTCCAAGATTGCTCCAAGCCAGACACGCTTAACTTTGGAGTTCTTATAATTGAGCTATCGACGAAAAGAAAGGTACACCTTATAATTAGTATAGATAGTACTTATCAATTCTTTTGAGCCTTTCTTAACCATACTTCCATGATCTCAGGATCCCTCTTATTCGGATGTGACATCAGTTCATTCATGGTACCCCTCCTCTCTACTTGACTGTCTCAGGTTTTAAGAACTCAAAAGCTAACTCATTGATCTATACCACACAAAGCTCAAATGTCGCTCATCCACACGCTATACACTCTGCCCTTTTTTCGGTTGCTCTATTGTAAATTGTGGTTTCCTAGGACAGTTGTGACTTCTTGCGGTTGAATCCATGGGCCGACAAGAGACAACTTGGCAAACTGAAACATCTTAGAATTCAAAGAAAGAGAAATTAGAAAAAACGATTTCCATAGTAGAAGTGTCGAAAGGATCTTGGAGACATTGCACTAAAGGGAACCATTTGAAAATCTTACAATATACATTAGTGTAATGGACTTTCCTTAATCACACCAGACCTGATATTGTCTTTATAACCAACCAACTTGTTCACTTCATACAATTACCAAACAATGCACATGGCAAACAATCGAAGGAAGATTTTGAGATGAAACTATAAACTTGCATTATCACATGTTAGTGTAAACTAATTGAAAACTCAAAAGATCGAATCCCCACTTTTATATATTGCTGGAGTTTAAAAAAAAAAAATTGAGCTCTCTCTTTCTACTCGATTCTATAAGCATATAAGGAAAGAGTAAGTGAGATTACTAAGTTTAACCACAATCAGATTTCTGTCATAATACTCTTGGTAATTTCACTTATATGAACATATAGCTTTATGCAACTTGTAATTAAATATCAATATCCTTCAATTAAGCTACAAAAACCAACTGTATCATAGAGTTTAACATTTATTCTCACAATCCACAACAGTTTGGATTAATATTAGCAAGTTAAAACATCCTTTTGTTTATACAAACATCAACTGATCATAACATCTCAAAAGCTTCAACTACATTTTCATTCAAAAAATAAAACAATAATAAAATATCTCATGTCACTGACTCTGGTGCAGTAGAATGGCTCAAATTTAGCCAATCTTCTGAATGAATGCATCATGGATCTTCAATCCTCCCTTCCACTTCTGAGTCCAAACTTCATACAAACCAAGATGGATGGTCCTAAGCTGTTTGGGCGTTGAAGCATCAACTGTGATTTCTAAGGGCTCCTCAGGGATGGTCAGCTTTTCATTTGGTTGTTTGTCTCCTAAAGAAACTTTCTTGAACATGAACTTTCCTGATTTCCCAACCTTGGCCATTACATAAACCTCAATCCCATTCCATCCAAATGCATCTGGTTTCATTGATACATTGAACCCCACTTTGTACGTCTTCCCAATCTCTACATTGTCTGTTGAACATGTCACTTCTAGCCATGAAACTTGCTTCAGCTCCGCCACCGACGAACTTTTTGGCCTGCAAAAGTTATAGAAAATTTTACAGTTTAGCCACCACTGAATTCAAAAGCTTAATCTATAATAAGTTCCAACAATTAGCATCAATATTAATTTAAGAGGAAATGACATAACAACCGCTCGCTCAAACATGCATACAGGATCTCCTGGCCTAACACCCATGTTAATTAATAATTAATACTACATCTAAAAGTGCATAAGTTGATAGATTACAGTAAATTTAATCTTTTATGCATATTCTCAACATGCCTAGAGAGAGATGCATGCTTACGTATTGGAGTTAGAGATATGCCAATAGCGATCGTCGTTGCCCCACGTGATATTAAACCCTCTTGGATAAATTCTGGCATTCCCCTGGATTGAGAAAATCAAAGATTGGAGGTAGAGAACTATTAAGAAAACTGATCAAGGGAAATCTTGAGTTAATTTCATGTATATAACTAAATAAGTTGAAAGAAATGAGAGGATTTCCAAAAGAGCAAACCTTGGTGTCCTTGTCTATGGCAGTTTCATCTGCCACTCTGTGAGGCCCAGTTGTACTCATGATTGGATTTATAAGCTCTCCCACAAGAAAGAAGAAGAAGAAGGAACTCGAATGTGTGTTTCCAACAGTAAGATGAGTTTTTTGAGTATTTATAGATGAAGAAAAAAGGATGTTATTGAAAAAAATATTATTTGGGACTTCTCTGTCTGTAGTGATCTTCAGAAAAAAGAGGAAAAAAACAGCTGCATTATTTCACAAGGAAGTTGAAAGATAGAATATTACTTGGTGCTTAGATAAACTTCCTCAACTTTACAAAAGGATTGTGTTTTTCGAATATGGATGAAGCTTCCTTTTGGATTTCTGTTTTTTAATAAGACCAAGCAAGGAATAAATACTCCCTTCTAATCTTTTGTATTTTTATCTTTCGTGGGCTGCTGACAGTTTTTCTTTCTTTTCTTTTTTTTTTTCTTTTTTCATTTCTAGAAAGAGAACTCGTGGGAACATAAGGATTTGCCAAGTGCTACATTTTTAACCGTTGCAAGTGTTGCTACTTCTGTCGAAAAGAAAGGGGAAAGGAAAGTGAATGTTGTGATGTGTGAATTTCGTAGAATGGTTAAAGGTGACAACACCAGAGATCGTGACATTGGAAGAAGCTCATGTGGTAAATTTGAGTTTAGATTTGGCTGAATTTTGATACTATAGAGAATGTTTTTCCGTTCCTTATCATTTTATCAATGAAAAGTTCGTTTCTTGTTCAAAAAGATACCATAGAGAATGTCTCTTCATCTCCTATTCATCCTCGACATGTGTCGATGGATGTTGAGTTCAATGATTCTATAAAAATAAATCATTTACAACCTTGAAATATAAAAAATTTAATCTCTATATATACATATTATTCTGAGGATAGGGGACTGAATTCACGATCAGAATTAAAATGGAGAAAAACTATTCCTCGTCCCCGACCTCATTCTCGTTAAAATGAGAAATTCTCGCCAAATTCAGTGGTCTCCATAGAAAAAATTGACACCCCTACCAGCAACTGCATCAATCACACATCTAATGTTAGATATGACCAACTGTCAATGTTGAATGAAGTTGCTTCAAGTGTCTAGGCAAGAAAACTTCTATACCTTGCTATGATCAATATATGACTTCATTTAAACTATGCAGTTTCCACTAGACTATCAAATATCATAGCTCCTTAATCGAGCTAAACTCACCTAAATTAAGTGGCTTCTGGCCTCGTCCTGCTAGACTACTAGATATTAGATTCATCGAGGGTACAACTCACTCGGTATCATTTAATGTTTTAAAATTTTAATTTCCTGTCAAGAATAGTAAGTACATAATTATATCAACCTTTACAAAATCCATCCTATTATAGTCTTTACAAACAACTTAAAAAACAACGACAAGTGAAAATCAACACCATAATGAATTTAGATAGAGCTCTCTCGACTCCTCAAAGAGTGGTATGAACAATCAAAGTGATCTTTGGCATTTTAGATAAGAACATTCTAAATGGGAGTATTCAAAAGGTCAACAATAAATATTAGTTTTACAAGATTTAAACAATATTTTCAATACTACTGCAGTATGGAGTTCTTCTGTATTACCCTCACTATTTTTTTTTAGAACTGAGAGTCGGAGCTTTGCTTTCTTATACCCAGGGACACCCATGCCCGCCCCAAGGCTCTACCCCACTATCAGAATCATGAGAAGAAACCAATTAAATCAATTAGTTAAAGAGATAATAATGTGACCAGATGTAAATCGAAGTAGTATGGAATCATTTCAAACTACCAAGTTGACGAAATGATCCTAATCAACTCATGCTCTTGTGAGCAGTAGATGCAGATGCCAGATCTTCTGCTGTCACCGGTTGGTGCAACTGCAACAACCATAAACAAATTCCAGAGTTAGGAAAGTGAGGAAATAAATTTATTTCAGATGCCCAATAGTTGGATGGAGAGAACAAAGAAGTAACAGGAATGGTAAATTCTTCAGAGAGCAGTCAAAAAACATGTCACAAATTATATGGATCATTTTTTCTTATTTGGCAAAATTGGAGAGAAACATGCACAAACGTTGGAGTTACATAACAAACTTAATGTATTTTATCAAAAAACACCCACTTTATTTCCATTTCTTATTTGTAAATTTGAAGCTTGTATGAAACTAATCTCAATGCTCAGAAAAAAGCAAAACTGTTGATCATTAAGTGCGGATTGATCGGAATCATACTGCTTGTGCAACGGTAAGCCAGTGAAAAGAACGCCGAAACATATCATCTTGTGAAGGCAGGGTGCTGTGGTTCCAATATGTTATGTTTCCAAATTTGGCCTTCACCTCCCAAGAGTCCTGAGACTGTTCAGAAGCTTTTCGCTTTCCAAGATCTTTCCTCCCTAGCACAAAGCCTGAAGAACAATAGTTACAAATACATATTGATCTTTTAATTCAAATTGGTGAAATGAATTGTGGCGGTAATTTATATCAATATCAGAAGCCTGCTTTCCTAGTACATGAGTTCAAATTAGGTAAGAAATGTTCGAAACGAAACATTTTCAACAGAAGACAACTACACACTAACTCAAAAGGATAGAACACATGTATCCATTCAAACAAAGGCCAAGGTAATAGAGGAAAAGAGCCGAGCCACCCGTACACTTCAAGGACGCACGAACGAATAAAGGAAATAAAGCTGCAGAAATTAGTTAGTGTGGGAGTGTGTTTCAGTGTGTGGGTCCCCCAATTTTGTAATAGGATAGTACAGCAGTAGGTCGTCCTGGGGTTTTTCGCAGGGGAGGGTATGCTTTCATTTTGGGATTTTGACTTAGACTTGTTCTAAAAAGGAGAAAGCCTGGCCTCTTTAAGAGCTCGAGAACGTTTGTCTTGTTGTTTCTACTGTTTGTTCATGAAATTTATGCAGATAGGTCTCTGAGACCATAATTAATATATATATCTTTCCAATTGGCTATAATTACAAAAGAAACAAGGGATAGTTACAAAACTGTTCTCTGTATAGCAGCCTAAAAACTAAAAAGAAACATGAAAATGAATGATCTTGTCCCTTCTCATTTCCTTTTTCTACAGTCATCTAAAAACCTATTGTTATTGTTACTTTTCATTCCGAATCTCCCAGAAATGAAACCAATATATCATACCAAAGGATAAGGTTCGAGTTATCCCTTTTCCTGCTGTCTCTTCCCCTTTAAAATGCACATGCAATGCACCAAATAAGGAATGCGAACAGGCAGACTTGCCAATGAATGTGCTAATCTTTAGCCAAAGAGATTACCAACTGAAGTTTCACAAAATAACCATTACGATAAAATTCAGCTGAAGGAGATAAGGAGAGAACTTAACTCTCAAGAAAGTATTATTGTACTCACGAAAGGCCTAGGCCCCAGGCTGTTGTTTTGACAATCCCAAAAGCAGAATTGAGACAGCATGAGGCAGCAAAACAATAAAAGACTAGATTTTTGGACAATTCTATAAAATTTGGGTCCCGAAAAATTAAATAGGTTTTAAATGAAGTTGATCATGAAATGGGAATAACATTGATAGCTAAATTCATCCTTTTCCAGATTAGATTCTATTAAAAACAGCAACCTGGAGACATATACAAAATGCATGTTGAAAATCCCTCAAAATATATCCAGACACATTACAAGTGAAGCAATAAGATTAATCAGAACAAATTCCTAAGAATTCTGGGAAAGTTCTTCAGCAATTGTTTCAGTGAATCCCATTGAACCCACATGTGAGACAAACAGTAGCAGCTAAATCTTAGAACAAGAACTACCAATATCATAATGTTCTAATTCTTCTTCTTCGGATTCTTAATACGCCATAGCCAATTTCAACAGGTCTTGAAACTAGCCAACATGAACATAGCTTACTCTGGTAATTGGCATCTACTCCTTTCCTTGGGGTCGGAAGTTTGAACCTCATATTCTCAGTTTGTTGTTAAAAAAAAAATAAAAAAAAAATAACGGGTCTTGAAACTAAAACTACAACCATATTTAGACATTAACTAAATCAATGAATTAAAACAAGTAAATGAAAAGGCAGTCCGTACCAGAGTAACCTTCTGGAAGGGAAATGGTAGCTCCTTGCAACTTTCTTCCTCTGAAATAAGCTTCCTCAACGCTCAAACCGTCAACCTCGATTCCTTCGTCGATGGACAAAAAAAAATGAAAAGGAAACACTCAGTAAATTACAAACGAATTACCGAAGGAGAAACGGAGAAAATTAGGGCATTACCAGTGAATTTGGGTTTGAAATAGTGAGAAACAGAGCAAGGACCATCGAGTTTAACGGTACAGGGAAGCTGATGAACTTTGCCGCTGAGGTCGACAGCTTCCGAGTCCCTCCCAAGATCAAGATCCACAATTACTTCCCTTTGCCTCTCGTTTTCCGCATCCATTTGATGAATTTTGAACCAAACCCCAAATCTGAAAAACCTTAAACCCCACGTAGATGCTTCGGATTTCTGGCGATGAATTTCAATCGACCATTTTTCCTTCAGATTCTATAATTCCCGCTCTTTTGAGCATTGAGAATCGGTTGTCGTCCAAGATTTTCCCGCTCAAAATTATCTTCATTGTTTTGTTGACACATTAAATCTTAATTTTTTGTTTTTTTTTCTTCTAAATAAAACTGGTGAATGAAATTTACTAGGAATTTTCTATGAGATTCAACCTACCCAATTACCAATTCATTGTCATTTTCTAAGATCAATTTTTTTTTCTTTTACTTATATTTTATCGTCTAACATTATAACATCTTTAGAAATGATTTTAGTATAACAAATTATTTTCATGTCGTTGTCAAAATCACTTTTGTTTAAAATAAAAATCTTTGACAACAATATATAAGTGCTTTTAGAAAATGGCAAAAATGTATCAAAATCACTCTCAATCATATTTTAATTATTTTTAGAAATTTTGTTTTATTTGGCAATTTGGGAATTTGAGTATAAGATTGAAAATTTTAGCTAAATAGAAGAAATCCATAATGTTTGGGTATCTTTTCAAATTTGTTTTAAAAGTTTTGATTTAATCCTTTTTGACATTTTTTAATTTAATCTCTCATTAGCCACAGACCTGGAAATTGATTTATAGAAACGCATATGACATAATGATTAGTAAATTGGCAAAAAATTAAAAGAGGAAAAATGTCACATAAAAAATAAATTTTTAATTCCTCCTTCAAAGTTCTAAGAAATTGGCAAAATTTTCGATTATTTTCTTTTTCATACTTTTTTCTCCTCTAAATTCTCACTAATTCAGTATGGATTGCGTAGTGAAAAGTTTGACATCAATCAATTTAAAACTTTTTAAACAACAAAAATTAAATTAAAAGGAAAAAAAAAACTCTCGAACGTTTGAGACTAAAATATATATTTAACTTTTAAAAAATAAAGGATTTATTTTAATCAAATTCTATTTTAGTTTCGTTTTAGACATTACTATTTAACTGTTATAGTATGTTTAATAAGATGTTACTTGACATAATGTTACAGATGAAAGCATACAACATTTTAACAACAAAGATTAAAACAAATGCTTGTGGAAAAAAAAGATTTATAATTACTTCAACAAAATTATGATTTGAGAAAATATATCTATTGATATGGGCAAAATATGACCATTGATAAATACACCATACAAATATATTACTGGTTTATCAATCACAACATTAAACATGAACTAAACTACAATTATCACTATTACAAACCTTGTAATCTACAATCTCATAGCTCAAAATCTGGATCAGAAGGACTCTATAGGAAACGCGAAGGTTGATAATGGCTAAAAAGGCTAACCTTCTCCCTCTTTTCGAAATTAGTTCTCCGAATCGGTGAGATCGGATGGACTCTCAAGTTCTCCCATACTTGCAGAAGCGAAAGACTCGGTAGATTCTAGTGTTGAGAGAGACGAAGTAGTGTCATCTGAATCATCGTCGTCGTGTAGAATAATATGATCGTCGTCGATCTCAGAGCCATCAGAGCCCTCAGCTCCTAGTAGGAGTCTGTTGATTGCAGACTTGGCAGTTTCAACAAACCATTCATCCTCAGGGAGTGCACTGATTAGACATAGCAATTCAGTTTTTCTTATATATTGAAAAGACAGAACGACAATAGAAGAAAACACGTATGTGCATGTGGCAGTGTGCATGCAAGTGACAGCAAGAGCGAGAGTGAGAAAAAGAGAGACCTTTGTGGATCAATTCCTCTAGCAGCAAACGTCCTGATAGCACGAGCAATGATAGCAGATGCAATCTGATGGATGTGGCGAGATGGGTAACCAGCAAAACGTGCAATTTCAACAGTAAAGTGCATATCCAGAATTAACTGCCAAGAAAAAGATATTATGCTCAGCACAGCGCACATGAAGAGAAACGAACTGATGCACAGATTACCCATAAATATAATCTTCTTTTAGTTTTCACTTCTGAATTAAGTGATCATTTTTAGGCATGTGGCCACCGATTTTAAGTCCATTCAAATCCTTTTACTTTTTAACACAACTTTCAAACAACAACCTATATATCCACCAACAAATTGTTTCAGTTTGTAACCTCACGAATGATAAAATGTGTTGTTCAAGGTGGGGGGTGGGGGGGTCTTTGGAAAGGCAGAAGACTGTACCTGCTGCAACCCGATCGGCAGGAGATTAACTGAATCGTCTTCAAAGACGCCCCAAAACTCTTGTTCATCAGACAACCAGATGAGGACAGTCTCTGTTAGCCTAGCAAGCAAAATCTTTTGTATCTTCTCTTTTCCAAGCAAGACATCTCCCGCAACAATTGCCAACTGTTGCAGTTTTGCAAATAGTGCCTGCAGTTATGCCAGAAATCACGTTATTAGGAACCAAAAAAAAGGAGTTTGAATAGGCAGAAGCCTGTATGGATTAATCATATTGTTGTTAATTCGGTCCCTGGTCATCAAACTGGGATCAGAGAATAGTATTTTACCACTTGTCAAGTTGACCTTTGGCTTCTTAAAATTTTACACAATTTAATTCCAGGAAACTTGCGTGTTTATACGAATAGCTCTCAATCTTAAATTTTCTACACTACGTATCTTAACTGTAACTTTGAGGGATTATGAGTTACTGTTCAAGGAACTTTTGACAGCACAAACATAGAGAACTAAATTCAATGTGGTTTAAGCCCAAAACCCAAGTTATAGTGCAACCGCTCAGCCAAAGTTTTTTTCATGACTGTGATCAACAAGCACAGATTATATATCCTATCGACCTAAAATGATTATCATGCACAAAAGAAAGATTAATATTCAAAGTTTTGTAATCAGATAAATGCACATAAATGTAATTTTCTCAACACATTTAAATTAGTTATAGACACCGGAAATGCTTTGAGAGTTCTTACTTTATTGAATTAAAAGAGATGCAAATTCTGTTAATGTAATGAACTGAGTGGAAAATTGGCTAATAGTACAAGATGAATTTTGATGATCCTATTGAAACAATACACATTAGAACACGTGGATATTCTAACATAAGAGGATGGTACCTGAAATGGAAGTGATGGACGAGGATCAGAACCCCAATGAAGATCCTCCCCGTCCCCATTTAAATAAATCCACGCATCTAATCTTGTTTTGCCTTCTCTTGAATATATGAAACTCAAGACATATTGCCGGCAGAAGTGATCTCTAAGCTTATCAAATGATTGTTGAAGATGGCGCTTCCAATCCTTCAGTTCAACAGAACTTCCTGAATTATAGACAACAGTTTCAGTTGATTCACTCTTCTGGTCTAATTCATCCTGCCGTTTCCAGATGGTAATCACAGCATCTGGTAAGAGTTCATCCATAATGGTAAATGCTATACCCAGAATTGCTAACTGTTCTGAATCAGTTTCAACTCTAAAGGGTATGGCCTCTTTTAACTCTGTGAGATTTTCATCATCCGAGGGGCTTGGTAGTGCTTTGAGTAGAGCATCCATGTACTTATCAAATAACTGAGAAATTCTATTTAACACGTTGCCTCCAAAATGAAAAATGGCCGATGACATCAGCTGTTCCAATATATCCTATAAAAGTTGCCATGTTTCAAAATCACATTGTCAGTTAATGAATAAATCACCAATTTACCAAACAAAGTAATAAGGGAACGTCATTTCAGGTGTTTATTTCCATCTATATTTGTGTACATTTTTCAGCATGCTTGTCTGTAGTTATATGGAATGATGTTTAAATTCTTTCTGTATATGATAATATCACTCTCCTGAAAAAGCAATGGAAAATTTATTGACCAAGTAATGATGCTGTGTATAATTCAGCTATTCTATAAGCATCTCTATGTAAGCATCATCACAAGGGCAGAAATTGGAAATAAATGCAGGCAAATACAAAATGAGAGATTCAAGAAGGCATAAATGCAAAGAGTAACTATGGGGATCCCGGTAACTTGCCATGTTTATGTTGGTGATGCATAAAATCATTTATTCAAATTTTAGGAACAACTAACAGTGGCTGGCCATGGGCCAAGCTATAAAGCCAAATGCCTTGAGGTCATAATTCAAACTACCTATGATATTAAAATTTGATAAGTTTTTCAACACTAAATGTTGTATACTAATCGAGGGGTGCATAATTAAGCCCAACACCCAAAACCATTTTTAAAAATAAATAATAGCAATATATGTATGCCAGAAAATCAAATAGAACAAGAGCAGAATTTTTTATAAGAAATATTGGAATACAAAAAACCAAATTAGGATGAAAAAAATGACCAACTTACATCAACAATGTGCATGAACTTCATCCCACTAACCACAAGCAGACTATCTGAGGATGTCACAAATGTAGACAATGACGATGCAAAGCGAGATGAGAAAACAAAGTTTTCATCAGGTTCAGCCAAGTCAAGAATGGCTCTTCTAGCTCTTCGAAAGTTCAACTCTAAAACTTCTTCCATAAAAGACCGCAAAAGCACCAAAAGTAATTTTGACAGTTTCAAGCCTTGTGTTTCCAACAATGAACAGTATTTAAGACTAGCATGTATGCATATGCTAGCTGCACGCAGAGCAGACACTGTCTCAGAAGATGGTGCATTGTCTTTCACCAATCGTACAAAAAATTCAATTTCCCATTCAGCCCATTGAACAACTCTATTTGTGTAAATAGGATCATCACCAAATATTGAAGCAGATTCTTTTGTTGCCAGTGAAATTGCTGAAAACACAAGCTTACTCAAAGTAGCTGAAAATGTCTTCGGACAAGCAGCACACGAAGGAAGAAAAGCTGAGGTGCTCCTTTGAAGGCGAGATCCAAATGACTTAAGCAGTAATTGATGAGCCAAAGAACCTTTACCAAGTCTTAATAAACCAGATAAGGCCTTTTTAAGCTCAAGAAGATTTACAGAAGGTTGTTCGGCAATTTCAATCAATTGTTCCTCAAGCATTGTTTTTCGTTTCAAGAATGCAGATTTGAACGAGGACAATTCAGTTGAAATCTCCCCAGTTGCTTTGAGCTCTGGAGAATTTCTCTCTTCTGCATCTAAAGCTTCCAGTGCTTCTTCAGCTTTATGCTCGGTTAAAAGGGTATCAACATTCTCAAGAAATATCATATTGTGACCATCTTCCACTTTTGACAAGGAATCTTGAAAGTCATTAATTTTTGCACCATCCTCGACTTCATCAGTGCCATCATTAGATTGGTTCCACTGTTCTAACTCATGGCATACACCACTCATTAGATCTTGCACTAGAATCCTTTGGGATGAAATATGTTTTTGCAGCTCAACTAACTCATGCTCCATCTCCACAGCCTCTTCAGATATCCTGAATAACACCCAAAATTAAGCCTTACACTCATGAATCTACAAGAAAAAGGACTGAAACTCAACTAACATGCACCCTGAACTAAATATGAATAACGACGAGAACATCAGTAGAAAAGAGGGACAGCCTTGAGGAAGACAAGGGATAATCTTCGTTTGGAAGGAGGAGAGGAAACTTGCTAGAAACCAGCTTAACGGATATCAATACCAGAATAACCGAAAGTGGTATACAAGTGCGAGATCAAATAACTTCCAGAGAGGGATGAGAATTTAAAATTATGCCATAGGTTAGTGGCCACCGGGAGAAACAAAACCCCTATTTTTTAACTTCATCTGAGGCAGTGAGAAGTTTGGTTAAAGAAGTGGGTACGGAAGCTGTTTGAGCTCTTCAAGAAGTTCTACAAGAAGAATAGATCTTCTTGAACCAGAACGGTTAGATTGACACCAAATAATGCGGAAGAAGCCAGTTGATTGGAAGTGGAACCTTTGAGACAACAGAATGTCCTTTTTTCCTTTGATGAGAAGAGACCAAGGAGGTTTTTTTTTTTTAAATAAACACGTATAATTTTTTTTCTTAATACACAGGTGGGGTGGGAAGATCGAACTCGTGACCTCTTGGTCAAAGACAGGTGCCAATTACCGTTAAGCTAAGCTCATGTTGGCGAGACTAAGAAGGTTTATTAAGCGATCAAAAATCTGATCACTAGCAAATTACCTGGGCCGGATGGTTATACCTTGAATTCTTTTAAAAAAATGTTGGAACATCAATAAACCCAATACTATGACGGTGTTTTTAGGATTTTTTGATATTGTTGTAATCAACGCTGGTTTTCCAGTGAACTGAAACCTGAAAATTCAAATTTTCCCTGTTTCTTCATATGCTCACTAGCAAATTTCCTAGGCTGGATGGTTATACCTTGAATTTCTTTTGAAAAATGTTAGAACATCATAAACCCAGTACTATGATGGTGTTTTTAGGTTTTTTTGGGAGTGTTGTAATCAACGCTTGTTTTCCAATAAACTGAAACCTTAAAATTTCAATTTTCCCTTGTTTCTACATATGCTTTCCTTTCTCTGGCCACAAGCATGAAAACATAGTTACTTAAAAACTGTGAAGTACGCATGCGACATTGACAAATTTTTAGTAGATGGCAGGCCAGAACCATATTATAATGCCAAAAAGGCAGTTTATTACTTCAAAGAACCCACTCTATTATTTGTACATTTGCTAAGTGGTCAGTTTGTTACCTTAAAAAAGCCAAATACTTAGTCTGCATATTGCCACATAAGTTCTCCACAGCATCCTTTAAATCCATGAGCTCACAGCACAGCCTTCTAATCCCCTATACAAACAACCATTTTTCTTATATCAAATCCAGTACAAACTAAAGAACCAAAAAAATGAAAATTAAGTTTAAAATGCAGAAATACACAATTCAACAAGTGTTTAGTGATATAGTTGCTTTTTTTAATGAGAAACTTAGAGAAAAGAAAGAATATACAAGAGCATACGAAAACCCAGCCTGACAAAAGGAAGCCGACCTAGAAAAAATGGGCTTCGATCAAAAAGAATTAATGCTTAACGGATAATTACAAAAACCTTAGAAACAGAGCCCACGGGGAAGTATTAAATCTATTAAGCTCCCAAACTTACTTCTTGGATCTCTCAACCCTCCTAAAGATTCTATTATTTCTCTCAAGGCAAATTTTCCACAAAATACCAAAGAAACAAGTCTACCACAGAAACCTTTCATTATCTGAAAGGGAGGGAACAACAAAACTTCCTCCGTCAGTGCCCGAGTGCCCGAAAATCCCCGTTATGAGCCCAAGATACCCCAAACGACTTAAAGAAATGACCACAAATATCCTACACAAACTGACATCTCCACAGAATGTGGTCAAGATCTTTCGAGGCACTTCTGCAAAGCACACATCACTGCAGCCTCAACAAGAAGGAATAATGCCTTTGAATACGATCCAAGATGTTTGAATTTTCCATGTAAGACCTGCCACCCAAAAAAATTTATCTCTTTTTGGAATTTTAACCTTCCAAAGTAAGGCTAACAACGGGCAGGGGAGGAAGAACTCTACAGGAGAAAGAAAGAGCAACAGAAAAACCATTTGAACAGGTTAGGGGACCAAACCCAAGAATCCTTTCTCCCCCGACAAAAAGGAACGTCCCTTTGCAGCAAAAGTAAGGCAGAAACCTCCAAAGTCTCCTTGTCCATCAAAGGGCAACTGAGACTCAAAGAAATAGAAGGATTGTGCATCATGCTTTTTTTACATTTAAACATCGGATGGTAGCAAGGCTTTCCCTTTTATTGGACAATTGGAGAATGCAGTTATTTATTGCAGATTGGTTGGCTGCTTCCTAAACTTCTTTTGCTTTTCTTTCAAAATTTGATGAATACTGACGATGTGTGGAATAACCAAAACAGCAGTTGGCGGCTGGAGCCCTTAATTTAGAATACCATTTTTGGACAGTGAATTGGAGGATTGGGAGAAGCTTAAAAGAGACTTCTTGCCAGCAGAAAGCTTTGTTTGAAGAAGACCAAAGTCTTTGAAAGCTTGATAGCTGAGGTGTTTTAAGAAGAAATCTCTCTTTTCTTGCTTCGCTCAAGGTGACCTGATCCTTCATACTCATTTAGTATTTAGAGTCTCAAGGTTCCAAAGGAGTGCAAAATCTTCCTATGGTATCTAACTTTGGGTGGCAATTGGCATCAATACAAACGACAAAATTCAAAACCAAAACTCAAATTGGTGCTCCCCATGTAAGAATAGCCAGGCAGATGCTCAGCATATTGCCAATTCTTTCTCCTTCGTGAAGGTCTTATTATCAAAGCTTTTAGAAATCTTCAACATCTCGTGGGTATTCTCAAGATACTTTGAGAATTTGGTGGCTTAAGGTTTATCCAGTCGGAATTCAGTACGCTTATGAAGATTTTGTGCGCACTTGCTTTCTATGCTCTCTTTTGGTACACATACTTTTAGAACGCAACTAAAGAATCTTCCAGGATGAAAGGAATACTGAAGAGTAAATATGGGATGTCATTGTTTATCACACGTACAAGTTTCTAAGGGCCTACCAAGTACAAGTTTCTTAGGAACACAAGCAAGATGAGTATGCACAACATTCATGCATTTTCTAGAGGGGAGTGTTAAAGTTCAGGTTAGTTCTGCTCCAATCCCAGAGGACGGAATTAGAATTAACACTACAGTTTTTACCCTTTTATTTTTGTGTGTGTATATTATACTCTTCACGTACATTTCTACACAATTTTTACAGCTAATTTTCCCCCGTGCTAGCTGTAAAGTAATAGTTCACTTTTCACTCTAGTTGAAATTTATCTACCAGAGATTCTCTGTACAAACAGATCAAAAAAGGGAGAGAGGATTTTCCAATTCCTTCACAATATCAATGATGAATTCATAACAGATAGATTAAAATCAGTATTGTAATCAAGTGGACAAACCAAATCATAATAATGTCGATAAATATCAGAAATTGGATGGAAACGGGAGCTAGAATAAAAACGAACAATGACCCAAAAGCTTGAATCTGCAGTAATTAAAAAAAAACAATAATAACAAAACTTCCTTTCCCTGCATTGTACCAGTAAGCAAGCAGAAAAACGGCAAGGGAGCGGAAGGAAGAAGGAAAATATCAAACCTGCTCAGTGTGGGATTGGTAGAGAGAATCAACCTTGGACTGCGGAATGATGCTCTCAATAGACGGGAAATCATCTTCCTCTTCGCTACTCTCCATTCTCTGAAATTAAAATCCTCTTCAAAACCCTCCCCAGGTGAAATTAGAAGCCGAAATGCTGGAAAAACGCCAAATCTCCAGAGGCGAAGCCGAGCAATGAATGTCTGCCCGCAATGGCTTCTGCTAACAGCTCCCGGACTGTGCGAACCGATTTTCCGATCAAATATTTGAAATTGATCAAAGGGTTCAGAGAAGAAGTTGAAGATTCTCTTCGAGTTGCACTTTTTTGCTCACACCTTCGTAATTGATTTGGTTTAGCCTCGGGAATCTCGAAGTTCGATGGAGGATCTTTCCACTGTACTGTATGAGTGTCCGAGCAAAAGCTCCCCTCCTGAGGAAGAAATAAAATGGCATTTTTTATTTGTTAAAATTACAAATTGTTTTTATTTATTTTCAACTATTGTATTAAACTCCAATGGGTTAAGGTATATTATTCTCAACTGAAATTGAACTTTAAAACAAAGTTATTAATATTACTGATATAATACAATCCAGCCAAACTCAGTGATAATTGACATATACTTCCAATCAAGAGGTTGTGAGTTTGAATTCTCTCYCCAATTTGTTATACCAAAAAAAAAACATAATTAAATAAGTAAGATATCAATTATATTGTTTGGGATTGAAGGTTCGGCCTTTCATTCTTATATGTTTTGTTCTAAAAAAGTAGCATTGGTGTATCATCGCTAAGCTATATTCGTTTTTTAAAAATATGAAGGGTGAGGATTTGAATTAGGCTCAATTTGACATTTATAAAATATGTTTTCTTCTTCCTTGAAAAATTTAATTAAACTATTAAATCGATAGAATTTTGAAAATATGAAAGTCTTTTTTTTCTTTTTGTCAAAATATTATATATTAACTTTTAAGAACCAGAAAAAGAAAAGTTCAAAAAACTATATTTTGACCCATTATACATGATTTTACTTCGTTAAAGAGATAGAAATTACCATTAAGCTAAGCTCGTGTTAGCAATACATCATTGAGTTGAATTTATAGTAGAAATAACATCATATGTGATTAGACCCCTCTTTAATTAAACAAAGACGACTTGACCAACATGTGCATTTAGCTCCGCAGTTATTAGCATAACTCGAAGGTTCAACTTTCTTCCAATTTATTGTACTTAAAAAGAAAAAAAAATTTGAAAAAGAGCGTGTACTTACCTTAAATCAAATCCAAATAATTTTCAATTATTTTTACTTCCTCAAATCTAGACTTTAAGGGTCGTTAAACTCAAAAAAATATATATACATAGAAAGAGAGAGAGTGACATGTCATTGCATTTTATCAAAATATTCCAGCTTTTGGAATCTTTTCCTTTTCACTTTTGTTTAAAGGCAAATTAACAATATAATTAGATGAAAATTGTATGATCCCATTGTTTGGTATTGGTACATATTTTTCCATAGAATCATAATTTTAAAGGAAAAACAAAAATCATTTCCAAATTCCTCCCAAATGACCATCTCAAGAATAAATCATCCAAACAAATATAACTATTCAAATATTTTCAAATAGTTTTGAATAACCGATCTAAATATATGTTTTAATCTCTGATGTTTAATTATTTTTAAAAATTTAATATTGAGAAATATTAAAATTGATAAATAATAAACTTGAGAAAAGTTTCTTATTCTTATTCCAAATTTCTTAGAAATGAGTAGAAGTTAATTTTTATTCTCTTGATGACATTTTTCCTCTAAATTTTCACAAAATTATTAAGTTTTATGCCATGTAAGTTAATCTCGGCCAATTTTAACATACATCATCAAAAATAAAGAACTAAATTTTTAAAAAAATTAAAACATGAGAAACTAAATTGAACCTTTTTAAACCATAAGAACTAAATTAAAAAAAAACCGATTAATAGCTGAAAAGCAATGCATAATCAATCCAAGGGGAGCCTTCATTAGTTTCATGTGAACATGGCTTGAATTGCAGATAGACTCCAATAAGAAATAAATATAAGTTACAACAATGGAACCAAAATCAATACCTGTAAGTTTATAAAGTTAAAACCTATGACCTTGGCGTAAGGAAATGAAGCTTTCTATGTCCTGGGATCTAGCACCGTTTTTTGATTTATGACTCGTAAGCAGCATCGGCTGCAGAGGTGTCCATGTCGTTCAAACCAAGTTCCTCGTTCTGTTCCCAGGATCGCTCATACTCCTCATCTAGGAACACCACCAAAAAATTTTATTAAAGAAACTAGCTTTCATTTAGATAAAAAGGAAAGAATATACAAGGAGCATAGCTCGACAAAAGAAGGGACATCAATCCAAAAAATAACAATTGAAAATTACAAAAGCCCTTCGAAACCGACACCCACATGCAAGTATTATCAAAACAAATATCTTTTGTAAATATCCACGTGACGAAAACTAAATCAAATAAAAAAAATTCTCTTATGTAAAAATTTTGTCGTTATCTCCTACTCATATTTTCACTCCTACCTTACCTACACACTTTTACAAAAAGCTTTTTTTTCTTTTTTTTGATAACCAGGAGTCGGAGTTTTGTTCCCCATAACCGGGGCACCTACGCCCTCCCCAAGGCCCGGACCCAGAAGACGTCAAAGAATTTTGATATTAAGCTCGCTTGAAAGGTTTGAACTTGAGACCTCTAAACTCGTAGACCCAGAGACCCCAAGCCTTCGCCCTCTTGTGACTAAAAAAGTTGTAACATGTAGCAAATTGAGACTATGCTGAGCTGAGCGCCCATAAGTAGCAAAGAGCATTAAAAACAGCCCAACAAAAAGAACCAACAAGTTCATTCTCAAATAAGTTGATACTCGGAAAATATTAAAATTAATATTTCCTGTTATTCTGAATAAAAAGATTAAGATAAACAACTAATTTACAGGCAGGGAAAAGCCACTCACGTGTTAACTGATGGTCATCTTTCATATCATCAGTCACTGGTGCAATAAACGAGTTTGCTAATGCATCGTCAAGGATTAGAGTCCAAGGTTCTTCCAAACTCAAGAGCTGCAATAAGAGAAATTAGCAGAAAAAAGACCCGGAAGATTGTCAAAGTAATAGTAAATATTCCCAATAAATGGAAGATAGTACAGCTTAGTAGTAAAATATGTTAAAATAAACACTCTAGAGAAGATTTTGACTCAAATTATTTATATAGAACTAATCTGTTTGTAGAAACATTTTCATTCGAAGTATGTTTCCCCCCAATGACCTATGTGCTTGCCAGCCCAAAGGTTTAAAATTACCTGTATGTAGGAGTTTATAGAACACTTTTTTCATTTTTCTTTTTATTTTTAACATAAAAAACACACATCCCACTAATTTCTTACTACCTACCAGTAAAGATTTCATCCACAACTCAACTAGAAAGAAAATTAAGAAGTTGCATATCCAATCCAATGCTATGGTTGTTTTCAAACATAATATTGGATTGGCGATCTCCCTCAGTGGCTTTCAATGAAATATTCTGAACGATGCAAATTACCTTGGTTAGTCTTGTTTTGAAGTCCAGCCATTTGTTTTTTTTATTTTCATCTAGACTGTCTCCGAAGGTAAATCCATGTACTCTCTCTAGACCTGCATTGATAATGATCCATAATGAGATTCAGTTGTGAGTCCAGATTTGATTTCGAAGGGTCAACATAATAATATAAATTTAGGTCCTGTTTCAAGGATCTAATCTAACTGAAAACTTTATCTAATCACATATTCACATGTATACTATAATGGACACAAATAAAATTTAAGTGAAAAGCTTCCAGAAACTATAAGAATCAATTTTCTAAATGGTTTTCCAATCTCTCCTAGTCATACCCATTTCATTCCTTCTGCTTGCGCCTTTCCCCTAGCTAAAATGTTGTGTTTATTGCCCCTTTCTAAGTTTCTCCTCCATTTTTTCTACTAATTTCTCCATCATATACCTGTTTCCTTAAATTCTCTCTTTCTTCTCTAATTACATTATCAAGTTGTCAACTTCGTTTCACCAGGTCGGTCCTTTCTGACTATCCTTGGTTTTCTTCATCTACTTCCAATGGTTTTTACTTTTTAATTTGGGGTGCACATAGTCGCAAAAGTGCCCACCCAAGCTTAAGCGAAAAGTGGGGAAAATAAAGGCTTTCTTTATTCTAAAAGTGCACAATAGAACAATAGAAGTAAACATTTCATATCAAAAAAATTATAGTAACAAAAATAATGAGAGAGAAAATTAAAGAAAAGAGGGCTTTTTTAAGAGTTTATTAGACATATAGAGGCCGTTGTGTTCACCATTTAAGACTCTATAGCTGACATTCAGAGGCAGTACATGTGAAATGATGCAAATGCATACAGTGCAGAAGATTAAATATACTCACTTTCACTTATTTTTGTGATTAAACCTTCAACGGTTGTAACAAGTCCCCCAAGAGTGCCACTAGCCAGCTCCAAGTCGAGATCTGGGACTTTTACACTAGCAGTATCTGACTGGCAAACAACACTACTCTATCAGACTGTATGTTCCAAATTACATGATACAAGCACATTAGTTACTTCACAGTCTCTTGCCCAGAACTCAGCCCTATTAGATTTACCTTTCTTTGTTTTTGAGGAAACAAAACTTCATTAATATAATATACAAAAACGGAAGGAAACCTCCATCAAGGCTAATGGAGCTTAAAGAAAAGCCCCCGATTAGCACATATATCATATAATATAAAGAGTTAGTACAAACCACATTGCTAAGCCTACACCGTGAGGCAGCTGTAAAATGATATGGTTAAAAAGCTAAAGAAACAAATTTCCATCAAAAAGAAAAAAAGAAAAAAAAAAAAAAACTTTTCGTTGACACTTCAAAAGTTACTAACAACCAAACTCCTGAAAGAGCAACAAGGCAACAACCCCAAAATTAAACTGTACACATTACGTTACCATCTTCAAAACACAAGATGGCACACATGCTATGGATACAACAAGGTAGCCCCCCATATTAAAAGAAACAATGCTGACTATCACCCTACTTTACAGAAAAGCATTCCAACCAAAAATAATTTCATGAACAGTTGAAAATTGTGATGATCATTCATCATGACAAACCTTTATCACATCTCGACTGAGATCTCTAACATCCTTCACATGAAGAGTAGTTATCTTTCCTTTTTCAGGTATTCGCCCACCTGGCTTCAACTGCATAACAAGACTACAATTATCATCAAAACTCAAACAAGCAAGTGAAAAGGTACAATATAGGCAAAGTATGACATACCTCAGAACTACGGTAACCACAAGCATCACAAGTAGATGCCATGACAATCACTTCTTGGAAGTAAGGAATTTCTGTGTTTTGTTAAGTTTAAACTTCTAATGTATTTCTGTAGGAGATCCCACATTAAAATAAATAAAGCCCATATAAAAAGTTGGAACAGACCAGAAGATTCCCCCTAGTTAAGATTTAATGCTCTTTAACAGATTTACAGGCAGTAGATCGATCATTCCAAACATAGTAAAAGAAATAGGAGAAAATAATAATGAAAATAATCCAATTCTTTCAATCATTAAGGCGATCAATAGCATTTGGAACCAAGAGAACAAGCTCCAGACCACTGGTCTGAATTGATTAAAAAAATCCACAATTTATGGATTGTACCGCCTCATATTCTCCAATAAGTGCACCTTTGCTTTCAGATTTCCACCTGCCTTGAATTCATTTATCAAAATTTTTTTAAATGGCTTCATTGATGAATCTGAACTACAAATAATACATGTGCACTTTCAGGCTGGCTCTCCATTACACGTGAGAATAGATTGTCTTTGTCTGCCCCCTCGCAATGTATCATAAAATCTAACTTAAACCACTTTGGGCGGCTGACAATTTTCCAACAAAGATAATAATTAATTACCTCAATATAATACTTGAGCGTGCCCTTACCAGTACCATTGAGATACTATCACAGATACATGAGAGGATAATAGTTTGGAATCAAAGTTTTCAACTCTAGGATACTATACTATATGTATCCAAACTAAAATGATATACATGCTTCATCTAATATTTGGTGAGATCAATAGACTAGGACTCCAGATTTCTTTGAAGCAAATTAAAATTTAAAATAAAAAACAAATACGTATAAAGATTCGAAGATCATATTCACAAAAAATCATCAAAAGAGTTGCAAACAGTTAAATGTAGATATAATCATGAAACTAAAAGTTCATACATAGAGACTTAATTGATCCTTAACTCCAAATAAGGATGACAGTAATGCTACTAGGATAGTAATAGAAATATTATTAAGATATTAAGGGTATCTTAGTAATTAGCTAAAAGATTTATTAGCAGGGACTTGTTATAAATATAGTGGAGGAGGAAAGGATGGAGGAGGGCAATTCTTTAGTGTGGTTTAGGCTTGAGTAAAAATACTCAAAAGGAGGGTCTAAGTACCTTAAATTACTGAGTTATTGTAGTTCTTCTATCTTTTACATTTCAATATATATTTCAGCATTTGGTTCCTATCAATAGATTGACGAATTAGTTTAGCTCCACCAAGTGACCAAAGTTCAAGAATGACAAGGATACTGGTTACAAACATTCGAGTCTCACACATCGTCGCACAAGCTCCACATGTTGTTGGAAAAGTCATCACCTATCAAATAAAATCAAACATAAAGCATTAATAGTGAGTATCATTTCAAAAGATAGCAAAGAGAAAGCAAAAACAGAAACTTAGGAAATTTGATTACTTCTTCTGGTGCAGTATAACGAAACAAGGCATCAGCAATCTCTGCACTGTTACTCTGAGCTATTGCTCGATGGCCAGCCACTGCTCCTACGGATCCATGTGCCTCTCCTCTAGCTTGATTAGAATTAGCAACACCACTTGTTGATGTTCCACCCTCGGGTTCTTCTGATTGTGATGATTCAACATAATAACCTAGTGAAGCTTGTTGTTCTGGAGTCCGCTCATAGAATTTGATACTTAATGATGGATCCTTGGCTGGTGCAAATCTAAAAGTAAACATCCTCACATCCATAAGATATCCATTCTAAAATGCTTTCCAATACAGATATATAAAGTCTCTAATATATTAAAAAGAAGGAATATCCAATTATTATTTTTTATCCTTTTGTCTGTTTTCAAATTGAAAGAAATTAATTATATATTTTATTGGATGGGTTCCAAGTACCAATTAACTATACATGGTGCATTTCATTGGTTCAGTACTAAGATTGGTTAAATTATTACTTTTTTCTGAACATGATGCATCACATTGATTTCTTATTATTAAAATTATTTAAGCTGTTATTTTTTATGAGTGTTGAACGCTATGAATAAATTTTAAATGAAAGAATATAAAAGATATTTTAGTAGTAACTAGTAGCATTTTAATCACGGACATTGATCCTAGTAGATTAAAGAATAAAGGCCATCCCAATATATAAGCTAGTAACCTAAAAAGAATTTTTTGGGAATTAGCAGATTTATTGAGACAAAAACCAATATTCTTTATTTTGATAAACTAAAAACATTTGTTATCTGATAATACCATTTGCAATCTTATTTATACAACAAGCTAATAAATTAGTAGTCACATGGATGAAGATTACTAAAAAGATTCAATTCTTAATCAATATACATTTGAGGCTTTGATAGTTTTTATTTGATAGGAACTATTGTTTAGTTAAATATTAAATAATTACAATAAGGAATTCAATTGACTCAATAGTCGGTACATATAGAACTTACCATAAACTTATAACATATATTAATTTTCCTTTATATAACTTTAGTAATTGAATTGATGAAATTCGTTTAAAATCTATTTTTAAACAAGGTGAAGCAAATTAAAAATATAATGTGTGATGCAAAAGACTAACGTAATAGTAGAAGACTGAATGTCACAACCCAAAATACTCGACCTTAAATCAGAAAATTATTGCTTAAGTTCATCTCTTACGGGTTCTCGATGAAGCTGTTTCCAGCTGGATCATCCAATATGAAGGAGAAGGATGAGTCTCCTACAGCACAAGCTTTCAGCTTCAGGAGAAACTGATCTATTGCTTCAGCAGTCTGAGGATCCACCTTCTACAAAACCCAGAAGATCTCCATAAATATAAAGGTGCCCATACGTACAACAATTTACAATCGGAGGATAAATGCATGATTACATACCCTACGTTCCTCTTGAAGGGCTTCCAATCCATCCACAGCTCGTACCAATATACCTTCCACCTAAAATAATCATCACGTAAAAAGGATGGTTAAAAATTCTATAATATACCTTTTCCTGTCTTGAAGAAAGGGACACCGAAGAACATTGTAAACTAATCGATGATTATGGAAGAAGAAACTCCGTAGTTCCATTCACTAGAGCCCCATATAAGCATGCATAGGAGCCTTAACTAATAGAGTGTATTATATGATAAAAGACAAAGGACTAAAATGTTGAAACAAACATCAATATATATGTTGTAGCAAACATGTCATAACTGACTGAAAAATATCATGGACTGAAACATGAGAAGGCACAACTAAAAATCAACAAAAGAATATTAGCACATCAGCAAGATACACAACCTAAAATTGGTGTTCTGAAGTAATTAATCGTGCATATAAATCAATTGATTGGACGAAGTCTTCAAAATACAGTCCAGAATGAAACAAAGAAAAGAAGCCATCCTTTACAGTGTTGGGGCAAATGGTAGAGGTAGAACAAATACAAAAGAAGAAGGGGGGATTATGGATTGCAGTCTGGGAGAAGCCCGTATGAGCAAAGCAATCTCAAACCTCATAAAAAAATTCTCAATCCCTTGAAAAACTCTACAAACTTCTCTTCTCCCCAACCAACAATCTATAAGACTGCTTCCGCTGTATTAAGCCTACATCAATTCTTGAAAAGATGACCCAGAAAACTACACTAACTAAAATTGTAATAGACAGAAGAAGTGCAGACAAGCACAAAATAGTAGACTGAACAATTACATAGACTCGTACAAATAACTACACAAACTTATTATAATTATAACAGACGAAAATGCCCATGTAAAAGAGACCCAAGAGTTGTTTAAAAGTTGTCTATCGAAAAATGCCTCGAGGAAACAACAGAGATAGTATTGAACAAATGCATACACAAAAATACATAACAAGCCAGAGATCAGAGCAAATATTAGAACAGATAAACAAAATGGAGTAGGACTTATAGGAGTTACTGTTGAAAGAGTTCCACGTTGAGCCTCTGCAGGAATCTCGAAATCCAGTTCAGGTATCTGCTCATGGAAATATACAAGTATGGTCATATAGCAACAGAATCTCATACTAAAAGTTCAAGAGAGTGTCTATTCTAGCCAGAGCAATCTACTGTGCTGTGCAATGCATCTTTTATCCCAACCCATGAATTCCCCAAACATCTTTACATCTTCACCTAAAATGTGAAACAAGATATTTATTATTTACTCAATTATACATTGAATCCCTTTACCTCCAAGCTACAAATTTGACTAGCTTAGAAGAATCCAAATATGAATAAGGCCCTTATCTCTTAGTTCTAGGAGGGGGTTTTCTCTACCCTGCCCTTAGGCTGTTTCGACTTTCCTTTTGCTTATATACTACATTTCCGTTTCTAATAAGAAAAAAAAAGGGAAGAAGAAGAAGAAGAAAACTGTCTAGTGTTCACATATAACAGCTAAATAAAAATAAAAATAATAATAATAATAACGATAAAATAAAAGGCCTCGTTCAAGAGCCAGATGGATTTGCCAATTTTTTTTTTTATAATAAACCAAGCTTTCATCGATAAAATATGAAAGAGAACAAAGACCACAGGGGCATAAAGAAAAGACAGCCCAAAGACGGGCATACAAAAAGAAAGCTTGCAAACGTGATTTTTCAATTTCTATACCTACCTTCCATGCAAAGGAGATCCAGGAGCTGTTTAAAAGTTTCATTTTAAAAATTGCTATATTTATTTTTTCTATTTAAAAAAAAAGCAAGCTAATAGAAAAATTGGTGGTTTTCTGAAAATAATTTCCAGAACAGAAACACCATAAACATGACAGATTGCCATTCCATAAGTTTTCATTGTTAATGTTTTCTAGAGTAATTTTCCATATACAATCATTAACCTTCTTTAAAATATAAATTAATTATAAAATATTGCACTTGCAATCTAGTATAAATCAAAAAATGGAAACGTTAGAATAAAAGTATCTTTGTGAAAAGCTTCTTATATTAACAGACACGAGAAATTAGTTTAAAAATTACTCCATAAATTAGTAACAAAAATTGAAAAAAAAAGGTCCAAACAATGCTGAATTTTCTTTATGTCATCTACTCATGGTATGGGCTCAGAGCAGGCAGAGTTAGACGGCTTAAATAAAAAAGGAGGTCAACACTAACTCGTTGTAACATCATGTGTACGTGTAACTGAATGTAGTACCTTAATAATGGCAGATTCAGATTTCACCACTTGTCGATTAAGCATCTGCATAAATATTTACCGACTTAGATATCTGATTACACTCAAAACAACAGGCAAGATAGAACATGGAACAAAATATCCAGAATTACAAAGCTAGGATTCCTATGATGAGTAGGCATTCGGTGACCAATTGTTTAAGGTTGAGAAAAAGGTATTTAAGGGCTGAAACTATTGCCGCAACGTTGAAACCAGAAAGAGCAGTTTTCATTGACGTGATGCTCCAATAGAACAAGGATTCATTTATAAACAAAAAATGACAAAAGATTGTGGGTAACCATTGGAAGAGCATACCAATTTTTATCAGTCAAATGATCGGCATTCATCTTATAATTCATGCAACTAAACACAATACAGCAGGAAGTTGAGAAGGCAATCTTTGAGGTCAAGAAGATATCTCTTTGAAAATAGTCTTATCAACCAAAATAATAACTTTAAGAAATCATTGAGGAGACAAACAGATGATCAACATATAATTAACGTTAACCCTTAAAACAGTGGTTTGAAGCTTCTTCTGATCCTCCTAAGGGAAACATAATAAAGTGAAAAGAAAACCTCTTCCACAACATAACTTAATTCAATGAAAATAACCTTTTGGTCGCCAGCAGGAACCACCAAACAGTAGCAACACCCCCGTGGCTGGATCTCACCGGCAAACTGAACTTCATTGTTCCTGAAAAAAATTCAAGTCACTTAAAAATCAATTAACATACGGAACCATCATGCTCTACTCACAACGAGAATTTCACAAGTAACATTTACCTCTCACCACAGTGTGGACATTCAAAAGCTGACAGCAAGATCTACAGTCAAATTTATATCTTAATAGGGCTTGAAATGTGATCAATCCACAACTAGAAACACGTAAAATTAAAGTACCTTTCTGAAGTGCGGAATTAAAGTCAGCAAAAATCTCGTTATCCCCTGAAAATGTAATGCAGACAACTTGACGAGTTATAAACAAACACGGTAACCAAAACACCACCCAAATGACACTAAAAACCACAAAATATCGTCAGCTTTAAGGTAATGAACAAGAGGGGTCCAATTTGAAATCAGACTTCTAATTAAGGGAGATAATTGCGATAAATTGAAGGGCAGGAATAAAACGAATACGTTTTCTTCACAGCGCATGCAGAGGCTTTCTACTTCGTAGCTGGGAACATCGGCGTCGTCGTTTGCAACTACTGCTTCGACAACCGACTGCACATCCAATACTGGCTCCGAGTCCTTTGCTGCCATTGCTCTCGCCCGTAGGAATTCGTTTGTTCACTCCTCGGTGGCCGGAGGGTTACTTCCGTTTCTCTGAGTTTGACGACCGGCGGCGGTTCTCACTCTTCAAGGTGGCGCTAAAGATGGAGATTTTGAGAAGTGGCTCGAAAGTTCCAAACTTCCTACGATTCTCCCTCTTCAAACTCTCTTTTGCTTCCTTTTTTTTTCTTTTATTTTTTTCGTTATTCGTGTTATTTACATAAAAGCCCTAAAATTTATTCAATTAATTAAACTAAAACATCTGTCCACCGAAGTTTAGTAATAATTGATATAGATGCATATTTTTCAGTGAGTTTGATCCCACTCCATGTATTATACTAAAAAAAATTAAACTAAAGAGTTTGAATTTTCAATACATATAATTTATATAAAATAAATTAAATTAAATTTTTTTCTTGTGCTGCTACCATAAATGTATTTTACGTCACTTATAAAAATAGATTTACAATACATGAATACTAGTCGCCTCCGCCGAAAGATGCTTAGCCAGAAACGACGAAGGGGGAAGATTGCGAGCTCCGCAACAAAAGTGGAAGCGAACCCCGACTACCACTATAGGGACCACTCGAGTTCTTGAGACCAATGAGGGGCATAGGATAATATCTCAATAAATAGTAATAGATTTGATTGTCCTTTGATATAAAAAGTCGTATAGTCTATGGCAAATATTAAATTATGACTTCTTYTGTGTTTGTAAYTGTGGAGAACAATCATTAATAACACAATCTCGATCATATTTTACAWYCAGGTACGTGTCTTAATTTGTCATCAATCATGCAAGCGAAGAAAGTGTGTCTTATACCATTAATGAAAATATATCGCAATATATAAATTAAGATAAAATCTCAATAAATAGTAATAGGTTCCATTAATATGAAAAATCATCCCGACTATTTCAAATTAATGGCAAATATACATTTTAGTCCATAATGTTTGTTAGTTTTATAAATTTCATTCGTTTTAAAATTTCAATTTAATCATTGATATTGTAACATTTTCCCGATACAGTTCCTCATCATTGATAAATGACAAGCTTACATAACGTGCTAATTGATACTCAATTAAATGGTAGAATTTTATAGGAGACAAAAGGTGATCAACAAAATAAAACTGGAAACTTATATTACTCTCTAACAAATCTGAAAGATGAGTTATATGTCTTAAATTATCTTATCTTATTTTAAATTTATCATAATTTATTAAGTATTATATACTCTATAATTTTATAATCTACTAATTTTAACACTCGTCCATAATGAGAGATTAAAGTTAAAACACTCATATTTTAACAATAATTAGCATATATTTATGAGAGATCTCCATACGTTGCATTAAAAAAATGTGGGGAGACTAAATTAAAAACTGATAAAATATATTGGACTAATTTTTAAACTTTTACTTATCTTTCAGTTTGCAGAGGGGAAAAAAATGGAGGGAAAGTATGTGAGGTTCTGATGAATTGCTTCTGATAAGGAAGATGACGATACGATCAATGGCTTCAATCCGGTGCCGATGCGTTCCTCTCAATCCCACTCTCGATTTCGTATCTTTGGGATCTCACCATCGTCTTCTACCTGCAATTTCTACACCCACCAGAAGAGTTCTGTCCCTCTCGGTTATATCCACCGCTCTTTCAACATTGGCATCATCCTCCTCTCTCGCCGTTCCTTCCATATCCGCCGCCCCGGAGTTCTTCGAGCTCCCGGACTCAGGCGGCGTCAAGGCGCTTGAGCTTCGCGCTGGCTCAGGGGAAACCCCCGTCGACGGAGACCAGGTGATTTGGTTTTGAAATCCGTTGGGAATGCATTGGGAACGTCAATATATTGCGTTTTTTTCTGTTTCTATTTCTTGGGTTTTTTTTCCCTTCATAATCTATCGAGGGTTTGGATTGGATTAAGGTTTGCTGGTTCTATGAGAGTGTTCCGAAGGGCTTCACGAAATCTTTCCATTAGTACTTTTGCGATGATTTTGTAGTCCGTAGACACTGTTCTCCAAGCTTATGAGCCGAAAGTTTGCGACTTTTTGGCAATATATCTCTTGGGGTTAAGGCTTTTGTAGTTTTCTCTGATGCATTTGTTGTAGTTGAGGATATGCTATCTTTTTTGGTGGCGTTCCAAGTTTTGTTTGAAGTAATTCTCTGAAAATTCCATCGGGCTCGGGTGATTGATCATTGCCCAAAATATTGACAGCAACTGCAATATCTTCCTGAAAAGGTTGTTCCAACCGTCGCTTCTTATTCTCATCAATAGGATTTCAATCTAAACCAGTACGTAACCATCTGCCACCAGGTTCTCTATTGTAGAGCTTTCTGAAAAAATCCTTTGATTTATTCAATCTATTCGTCTCTGGTTAAAAACTGCCCATATATTCTAGGTGTTAATATTGTTGATTAAATTCTTCCTTCTCCTATGGGACATAATTTTATGGATCGAGCTTGTGTTTTCATCAATCATCACCTTTGTTAAGCCAACCCGTCTTGGATGTTTTAGTCTACTTCCGACTTCTCTGTACTTGAAGTCCAAAAACAGCGATGTTCTCTTATTATGGAGGTAACAGTATCATTTTGGTTTTCCCTGTCCCCCAAAGTGCTCCTGTTTCAAATTTTAATATTGGACTTCATATTTTTGAGCTTCTGAACGAATTACCAGCCTGCCTCCCAATCTGTGTGTTTTGTCAATAAAAATCAAAGGAAGAGATGAAAAGAGTGTGAGCGGTGCAGAAAATTTCGAGCTCGAAGGGAGTTGGACCCAGCACACCGAGATTGAGCTTGATAGAACACGACACTGCTTTTGCTGGGAACATCCTTCTCCACCAACACTATTCTTCTATCAATGACCGAAAACTCAAATCTTCTTCCTATTACAAGATATTAGGAAAAGATCGACGGATTTAATGGACTTCTAAACTTAGAAAGAATTCTCAAATTGGCTCTAGCCCCACATTTATAACCACTGACAAGGAGGCTAGGCAAGGCATGGCATGGCATTAGCTTGCTGCTACTTAGCCGATTTACCAACTTGCCTACGACCTCTTGATTTGAGCCTCAAAGTAGATTTGACTGAGACGACACCAGTGTGAGTTGAACTCTTCAACTTCTCTTTTGTCTGGTAGGTTACAGACAATCGACACCCCTTTTCAGCTCTTTATCATGGTGAGTGAGAAAGTTGACTTCTAGACTCACAAATTCCTCAATCGTGCACTTAACTAATGATGAATAATGTAGTCAATGGGTGTACAAGTGAAGTATCATTTTATCTTGTAATTCTTTCCAAGCCTGCTTTTGATTAATTGTGTGGTGGCCTACTTTCTTCCGTTGATGATACCAATGGAGATGTTATACCTCACTTACCTATGATGAAATTTTGTCCCTCTTTGAAATATTTCTGGATCCATCCATATTTGCAATTATTATTATTATTTTTTTTAACGAGCGACGAACTTTTCATTAATATATGAAGAGGAATCAAACTTGTTTAAAGATACAAAATCTCGAAAGGAGTGAATGGATGCAATTTTTATTCTTTTCTCCAGCCTTCTGTTGTGATCATTTCGTAGAGTTGGCTATCCGCTTGAGTGCTAGTTGTTAAAGTTGATTGGATGAACACCGTGCTTTGTAAAGATAGTATAGGGGAAAATTTTATTGCTAGAGTATGAAATCCAGATATTCTTAATAAGGAGTATTAACGTGAAGGTTGCGGTTCATTACTATGGAAGGTTGGCAGCGAAGCAGGGATGGCGCTTTGACACATCGTATGACCACAAAGATGAAAATGGGGAACCTCTTCCTTTTACATTTGTTCTTGGCTCCGGGAAAGTAAGTCAATTGCTGCTGATATCCTACCATTTTGCCTAATTGAATCCGCTTTTAGTTGCAAAGCAATTTGCTCTTAATCTTGCACAAGGTTGATTATGATTTTCCTTTCGATTTTCTATTTTTAAAAGACCAACTTGTTGGCTATCAATTTATTTGTTTATTATGCATGTTATGATATACTTTAAAAATTATAATGAAATTTTAAAAACTAAAATAAAAGTATTTGTTAAATATATATATATTTTTTAAATTTTGAAATGTTATAAAATGTCAAGGTTATTGCGGGAATGGAAGCAGCTGTGAGAACCATGAAAGCTGGTGGCATCCGTAGAGTCATAATTCCACCGTCCCAAGGATATCAGAATACATCTCAAGAACCTATTCCACCCAATGTGCGCACTCCTGTTTCCCTCCCTTTGTTTGGTTCACGCATACTGTCTTATTTAAACAAAACAAGTTAGCATTGTTGGATGTGATTCTAATCCATGACCTTTTAGTTGGGATATATGTCTTAAATGTGATTCTAATCCACGACCTTTTAGTTGGGGATATATGTTTTAACTAACTGACAAGTTGGCTGTATCAAGATATAATTGATTGCACATGCATGAAATAATCAATTTTAATTCTAAGGAGTGTCACGATGATAAAGGTTTGGGATGTTTGAAGATATTCTCCCAAATCTTAGATTCAAATCTTTAAGTTAGAAAAAAAAAATCCTTAAATTGAAAATTTAATAACTTAAAATCTTTTTAAAGTTTCTAGAGGTTATATAGCTCACTTTGGTCGGTGAAGTCTCTCTAGTGAAGGTGGATCATTAGCATAATGTTGGGATAGAGTCTAACAACTTGACCAATTTTTTAACAAGAAACAACTTTTCGTTGATAGATGAAAAGAAAAATATACAGTTTTGAATTATTTTCAAATTCTTTTGTTTTTAGGTTTTGCATCATTAGCATGTCATGTCGTGTCGTGTAAATCATTGTTGGTTAGTGTTAGTTTAATCAAACGTACCGGTATACGAAGATTTAGTTGGAAAAACATAATTATTTTCTTTTCTTTTTAGTTAAAAGAATCAAATAGACATAATTTTAATCTATTTGTAACATTTCTTATGAAGTTTTAGTCTTTGATAATAAACATATATATATGATTTTATGACTTAGACTTGGTATTTAAAATGTAAATGGTAAACTTGTGCATCGTTTGACAAGTTGAAGCTTGAATTTATATGATTTTAGAATTAGCAAGTTTGGACTTTGGAGTTCAGAGGCACTCGTGACATTAGCAAATCGGTAGCATATAACAAAGTCAAATAACAAACATAGACTCAACTCAAATGCTCCCTTTCAACATCCTTAAGATTTAGAGAATTCATAAATCATACTAACCAACTGCTCAGTATTTTAAATAACTCACGAATTTTAAGTGGTTGTCTAGTAGGGCTGATCATCGGTCGGTTTTTGGCCGACCCGGTGGCCGAAAACCGACATTTTTTTGTTTCAGTGTATGCTAAATCTAGGGTGAAGTGAATGGGCTTGGATCCTTACTGAACTTCAAAAAAAAAAAAAAGTTATACATTTGTGAGATTTGATCTGCCTTTAAATGTTTGATTTTCACGAGGTGTTATTTGAATGCAGTACTTTGACAGGCAGAGGCTATTTACCACCATTTTTAATCCAACACGTCTGGCAAATGGTGAAGGTTCCAGCCTTGGGATTCTCATATTTGACATTGAGATGCTTCAGGTAAGGCACTTCACCACCAAGTTTGCATCTCCAGGTTCCTGAAAACAGCTCCTCCTTCAATTTCCTGTACTATATAATTCTACTTTTTTATACAGAATTATTATTATACTCAAGTTTTGTACATCATGCTACCTATATAACCCATAAATACCATATTTACATGCACATAAGAAGTACTAATATCTGTGTTAGATCCGTGTATAGGTCAAATGAACAAGTTGTAGTGTCTTGTTTATGAGTTGTAGGTAACTGATGTTAATGTTAAATTGCTGATGTTCTTGTGTGAAAATCAAATGTTCTGGGACGTATTTGGATGACTTTTCGAGGTAAATATGTGACATAGGAAAGAACGCTCAGGTCAGTATTACTCAACTCGAAATGGGCTATCAATCACACGTGCATGTATCTGGATATGAAGACAACTTCCCTATTTATACTATTGGTAAGTGGGATCCATTAGTTGGTCATCTGACATCACAACGGGAATTACGATGTAAGTTCTGTCGTAGCGGGATGATGGTTGACAAAGGGTTGCTCCGAAATGTGCTAGGATGACCACGGTTGCTGAAATTCGAGGTACACCTCGTCCTATCCTTTCGATCTCTCCTCTCTTACCACGTCGAGTATTAACACTTTCGTTTGCCGATTATAGGTATGAATCTCCTCCCTTTATTTATAAACCTGAATGATTCTCTCACGACAAAAACTTCTTATATATCTCTTGCCAATATAAATTTTTTCCAGGAATTACGTAAAATTGTGAAAAGTGTGCTTGATTTGTATGGCTGATGATGTAGTAGTTTGCGTGTTAATTTATTTATTAGAATAGGGGTCTATATGCCAAAGCGAGCATAGTTCAGTGGTAATTGGCATATACCTCCAACCATTAGGTTATGAGTTCGAATCCTCTCTCCAACGTGTACTAAAAAAGAATAGGGGTCCATATGAAACAAATGGATTAATTTTAAGGCTTTTTTGAATCAGGTCAGGGGTCTTATTCTAGATAAAGAATATGATATTTTTTTTTCTAGATTATAAAATAAAATAAGGAAATATCTGAAGGAGAATGAAGTCTTTTAGAATTGACTATGAAACAGAATGATCAATAAACTAAATTTGATAATCTCTATGCACCTAGGAAAAAGATTGACAGAAGAAAATTTAAGATAGCTGAAATAAGAAATTTGACACATTGATAGTATCAAAACCAATTATGACACATTTTTGTAACTCGAATTAATCGTATAAATGATTCTCTATGGTCTTTAAAAAGACCTCCCCACCTCGTTTGTTAATGTTCTTATTTTTCAATTATTACGCTTTATTTTTAATTAAAAAAGTAATATATTTACCGATTTGAGTGTAGTTTAATTGGTTAAGTATGTATCTCCAATTAAAAGGTCAATGTCTTCGAGCTCCCACCTACACATATTGTACCGTAAAAAATAGAAATGTCATTAACATTTTTTGTTTTTTGAGTAGAATAAATGGGGTAGGGAATTCGAAATCATGATTTCTTGGTCAAAGATAAGTATTAGTTACTGTTGAGCTAACCTAACATTGACAACATTTTTATGTTATACTTATTTTTTAATATTTATTAAAGTTGATATCATTCTTTCATTCAAACATAAATAAAAACAGTTATCAAATACATATGTTTGGAAATTAGAAACGAAAAACAGTAAACAACAAATAAGTTATTGATTTTGTTGTTATGAACTTTTTGAAACATTTATCGGAGTGAGAAATAGAAATAGTTACCTAACGCTAATATTTTATTTCTTCAAAGGATTAAGAATATATAAGAAACGATAACCTTACCATATACAACTTTAATTTCGTAATTTCTTATGTTTGAACTAATCTTCTCTACTTTCCCATTAGCATGTTATTCACTTTTTATTTTATTTCATTTTTTACTGTTGCATGTTATTTTACTTCATTGTCATTTCACCAACAACCTTAATATTAATATTATATGTTTGTAAAGATTCACCAACATCGTTCAAAATTTTCCAAAAAAAAACATCATTCAAAACTATGGAACACTGTTAAAATTCCCGAATTTTACAAATTCAATTAGTTATTTATAATCTTATACACATTAAATACATGGTTGAAAACAATATTTTCCCCTATTTCTCGTAGGACACCTGCATTACACTAGCTATAATCAATAGATTTTTTTTTCTTTTTTTCTTTTTTTTAAAGGTGCTAATAAATCTTCCCTTTATAACAAAAAAATAAAATATATAATAATAATAATAATAAATTCAATTTCTTCTTTATCTTATGTAAGATACAAATCTTCCTTGCAGACTAATTAAATGTAAAGCCAATGAACAAAAATAGTAAAAGAGAAAGCTAGAGAATATTAGGAAAAGTCGTAGATTGAATCATTTTATTCTTATGTGTATAATGATAACAAGATGTGAGAATTTGAGCATCACTTATCTTTAATTATAAAATAGGCTACTGTGTTTAAGAAATAAATAATTAAAAGCAGTGTTATCAATTTCTTACCAAAGGACATAAATGAATCGTTAACCAATTTAGACCTCGCTTAATCTAAAGTTTAGAGATCGTGGTTAGTGCCCACATAAGCACGGTTTAACGTAAATATGTCATATATAAATATTTGTTGTGCTAAACAAGAAATCGTAGCCATAAATCAATATATAAGATACCTATTATCAAAATCGTTGTTGAACTGAGAAAAATAACATTGAGGGATCATTATCATATTTTGAAAGATCGGAGACTGAACAAACATCATATTTAAGAAAATAATAATAATACATTTCTAGTTTAACAAAAATATACCTAAATTTCTAAAGCGAACACAACTCAGCACAATTGACATGAGGGTGTGAATTCTTGTTTTAGATACTATTTTGGTACATGTACTCTTAATTTTGGTTTCCATATATTTGTCAAAGCATTCATTTTACTTTCTATTCTCTCAACTATGGTTTGTTTAAGTCATTATACTTTAACATCTATAAGTATTATACTCCCTAGTACCATCGTACTAATAAAAATAGACATTTCGAGAGTATAAGTTATTAAAAAAAAAAAATAGATCGAACCTAAATCAGTGTATTTTGGCAAATTGAGAGTGGAATGGTTGAAAAGAAAGAGAAGCAAGCGAGTGGGGTGAGTCTTCTCTCTCTCTCTGGTCGTCAGTCGCTTTTCAAAGCTTCAGAAAATGGTTCCCCCAAATCTCCCATTTTGAAAACCATAATTATAATTATATTCCCCTTTTCTTCTTCTCTACTCTCTCTCTCTCTTCGCCAGTTTCACTTTTACTTTCATAAAACCCCATCTTCCCCCTTCTTCTCTTCCGTTTTTCTGCCCAAAATCGGCGACGGGAGAGCACAGATTTGGTTTCTGCGAGGTGGGTTATTGCTGTTAACCCTCCTCCTGCGACGCTGAGCAGTTTCTTGCTCGACCCACTTCCCCAAGCCCTAGTTTTTGCTTGTGGTTGTTGCCGGATTCCTTACACATGGCGCAGAAGTCTCTGATCTACGCTTTCGTCGCTCGCGGCACCGTGATTCTCGCTGAGTATACCGAGTACAGCGGGAATTTCAATTCCATTGCTTTTCAGTGCCTCCAGAAACTCCCCACCGCCAATAACAAATTCACCTACAATTGCGATGGCCACACCTTTAATTATCTCGTTGACAACGGTTTCAGTAAGTCCTACTGCTCCTTTTCCTCCCCTTTCTTCGTTGTTTGATTTTTCTGATTTCTGAGATTTGATTTGATTTCTTTTGTTTTTGTTTTCCCTTTTTGTTGTATAATGTTTTTGTGCTGTCTTTATTGCGTTTAATGGTCTTCGAGTTTCGTTTCTGGTTGGGAACTTTTTTCTGGAAGAGTAGTTTCTTGATTTCCCCATTTATTGGATGTCTTTCTTGCCGGAGATGGTGCTTCTTTAGCTGATTTGAAAAAAAGAACCCCCGATCCGTCATTTGTACTCAGTTAAACCTTTTGTTTGGATGCCGAGAAAATGGGGAATTTATGCAAGTTTTGTTGTTCAAGCCTCCTTTTTCTTTTTGCATTTTTTTTATCTCATTTATTTTATTTATTACCATTGGAAGTTGATACGAACATCATTCGATGGTTTTGATGAAATACGGGGAAGGAAAATGAGACCCGAGATTTATTTATATCATATATGATTAGATTTGGACTTGCTTTCCGTTGTTCTCTAATGGGTTACTATATAAAATATACGAGATCTCAAAATGGAGAATTATTTGTCTAGACCCTAGAAGATAGGTATTTGTGAGAATTATTATTATTCCTTTTTTGTCAAAACCATAAGAATTATTGTTATTTATATTTTGAGCCATCGAGGGTTTTACTTTTAAATGCGTACCTTATTGGGAACTAGCTCTTTAGTTATGATCTGGCGGCTCCTAAAGCTCTGTTCGTAGATGCAATTGTGAAATATGGCCTAATATTTGTCTTATTTCTCAATTCCACCCTAATTTTTTTAAAAGTTTCAGCTTCACTCTACATTTGAATCTAAGTAAAGAATGTCTTGGACATTAAAATTCATAACAATGTGATGGCGTGACACTAAAATCCATTTTATTAATTGAGTTGGAATAATCCTATATTTTAATTTAACTAAATGGAGATACCCACATATAAAATTAAATATATATTTGCTTCACATGATATGTTTTGTAATAAGGTTGCAAAGTTGTTGCGGTAGAAAATGGAACCATTAAAGATGTTGCTATGCTGATGATTAACTATTTCATCTTGTTTCCTATGGAAGCCAGATTGACTATATCATTACAAGAATCCTATTTTTCAAACTGTACGCAATCATTTTTAATGTTTATTTACATTAAAGAATTGATTAAAAAAACTTAATATATAAATGATAGAATTGAAACTTTTAAAATGTTAGGGATAAAATTGGAAAATGACATGTGTATTTGGGACAAAATTATATATTTAACTATAGAAATATACAAGTTACAGAATCAAGGACAAAAAAAAATAACCCTTCCATTTGGCACAAACAAACTGTACTTCCAACATTGTTAAAAAGACTAGACTGAGCTCGATACAGTTTGGATGAGTCATATCTGTCTTAAAATGGGATGGGAAAGTAACAAGTCCAGTATGAAGAAAATCTAAAAATGAGTCACTTGGTTTCTCTTAAACTTAATCTGACTTGGATGGTGTGGAAGTGACTTGGGATATATCAGATTTGATTCAAGACGACTCAATTGTGTATTGTTTTCATGTAGATGGTGGACAATGAAGAATACTCACAATATATTCCCATTCCTGGTAAAATGTGGAAGAATACCCACAATACTCACTAACTAATAAAAATGGTCTTCTTCAGATTTTGAATCTAGAAGGGTCCTCAGTAGTTTGTGAATGCTACAGCCTGATATTTTGCACTTTCCATTGCATATACCTTTGAGAAACTGTTCTTTTATTTTTCCCTTCAACAAAAATGTTCTGTTTTATTTACCTTATCATGGTGTCGAATAAAATAGTGGTTTGATCCTGAAAGGGACCTTTTCAGTTGCTAAATGCTAAAGCCCTACCGACTATTTTCTTTTTCATCTCATCAATGTACTAGCTCATTTTTTATAT